ATCTATTGTAGGCTCATCTGCAGCCCACGAATTCCCATCCCCTCCGACAATGAGCGCAATCGGAAAATCATCGACTTCGCCGTGCCGAACGATCGAGAATTTTTGGTGCTGCTGGAGTGTGCATATGTAATGTACTACAAATGGGGACTGGTGTCGCCCGGTATGTGATCACCTGCGCTCTAAATTTTCCTAACATAACTATTTTAACTCAATTAACTCCAAAAACAATCTGATCAATGCTTTTTAGCGAAAAATGGCGCCCTTCCGCTGCGATGGAGAAGCATTCCGGGGATGGCGGTGGCACGTTCATTCCGGAAATTGTGGGATGGGACGACACAGGTGAGTCAACCAGTTATGTATGTTCAATTTGCAATTTAGGTCTTCGGATTTGCGGAGAGGACGGGTCTGGACGGAAATAAGGTATTTAACGTAATTATACCAGACTCATACACAGTGCATAGGCTTAGCTTAAACTTAGCTTAAGCTTAGCTTAGGCTTCGCTTAGGCTTAGCTTCCGCTTGGCTTAGGTATCTGCCTAGGCTAGGTTTAGACTAAGTTTAAGCCTAGGCTTAGGAGGATGAATACATTGAGCCGAAAGCTGAGCAAATTCTTTATTTTACCAGATCCTATCACCGATGCTTTACAATTTGGAGGACTGCCGTATCGTGACAATGGGCGGCGTTCAGGATCTGAGCGCCGTGGCCGCCTTACCCAACAGCTACTATGAATTGTAAGTACTGCGCCTGCCGCTCTAGCGGGCAGCAGAAAAGTGTGGTTTTGACCAATGGGTACAAGAAAACAAGCACTTTTTGTTGCTCAATATGGGCATTTTGGTTCACTAAATTTGGGGCTAAGCTCAATGAAAAGTGCAATTTTATGCAAAATCCGCATGCAAATTGGTTGCTCAAGCTAACAGGACGACGTTGAATTTAAACTTTTCAAAACAAAATTGATTAGGATTCAGGGCAAGCTAAAAAATTTTGTAAAATCAGAATCAACTTGTCTTTTACTTCTTCGAGGGCTTTCGAATGGTGTAAAAATCCTCCCGATCTGATCTTACTCCGGACCGTTAGAGGGGCTCGATTTTTTTTGGACACCCTGTATACTGTTTGTTTTTTAGTGTAAAAGATCCTTTCAATTCGGATTCCTACTTGATCCACGTCGAGGGCCGCCGATATGGAGACAATGTAGGATTTTCTTTTGTTTATCGCAGAATCTATTTTTTTATGAATCAAAACTATTGTATTAGTTCTGTCAACGGCTTCGCGCAACGGAAATGACCCTCCTCGAGCGGCCACCCATCAACCATAACATCGCGAAGGTTGTCGCGTTTCCATTAGACAAGATGGGGATGAGCCTGGTAAGCCTAGAAATCTGAGCGCTCACGCAAAAGTGGTACTGTCTGTAAAATCAGAATAATTTCTGGGCAAGTTATTTTCGGGACTTAGCTTGATTTTAGAGTCATTTCCATTTTTTTTCTAGAAAAACCTTTAGTAAAAATTTCTAATTCAAATGAATGGGGTGCCCGGCGCAGGAAAAGATTAGCTTTTGAATGGGTTCTGGAACGCAAAGTTTTCCAAAGAAAACCATTTTTCCCACGGTGCGGCCCGGCGCATCGTCTAAAAAACAAATCTAACGATAATATTTCGGAATTTTCACGGGTAACCAACCCAAAAAAAAACCTTTTTTTCGCTCAAAAAGCGCTAGTTATTGTGAGTACAATCTTTTATCTTGGAATTATGTGGGTGGATCCAACCCAAATAGATTTTGTTCTGTTTCGACCGTAAATTGGGCTGGCCACTCCTAGAAATCCCGAATAAGCAAATTTGAGCACAGATTCAGGATCAGTGCAAAATCCCGCAGAAGTGAGGCCTGGTCCCAGTACAAGATCACGATTATCATTCTCAAAACGTTGAAATCATTTTACAGGGTGTGCAAAAAAAAAGCCCACAGTTTGGGTCGAAATAACTCGCGAACGGTAGAGAATCGAAGGTACGTTACCATGCCAGAATGCTTAAATATGCTGGGCATGAAGATTTAACACAACTTGATTTTTTCGATTTTTGGCGACGTATCAATACAAATGACACCCGAAAACTGTGCGTTCGGGGAAACTTTGTTTGTATTTTTCTCAGTTTCCTGTGGTGCCTGGCATCTAATTTTTATTAAGTAAGTTAATATAGGCAGCAGATATATACCTACAAAATTTAAGAATTTTTGAGGGTCTGGTTGAAAAGTTATAGAGGAATGAAATTTTGTATGGGGAAATTTCGTAAATTTTTAATATTGGAAAAACCTATGGCGAAAACCTCAAAATCAGTTGTTGTGGAATACCTACAGGCTTGACACAATCGCATAAACATATTAAAAAATTTTTTAAGATCGATGAATTTTCGAGTTTTTCAACGACCCCCTGGTCATGGATTTTTCGAGGTCACGAAACCGAACTTTAGAAAAATATTTTTAGATTGCCAAAGGGGACTCAGCTATTTTCTTTGCTTAGATATGTAGAACTGGGGTTTATCTATCATCTACAAATTTCGAGCTACCGTACCCCTTTGGAGGGGCGTCTTTTAGGGCCCCCAAAACGGTTCGTTCGTGCTTTTTTCCAAACCTTGTCACCATTTTATAAAATTTAGACGCGCTGTGAAAATTATCGCTTTATTTTTATCTGATACCAGTTGAATAGCGCATCCTAAATCCACTTTCTTGAATTTATTTGACCAGCCGTTGGCGCCAAGAAAATTCATCAAAACCCGAAATAAACCGATTTGGAGGTTGCGTAAAAAAATTTTGGAAGGTGAAGTCGTAGGGATATTTTTTGCAATAACTCGGTATGATCAGTTGAATAAAGCTATGCAAAGATTAAAGCAATTTCACGTCGCAAAGATTTTAAGAAGATTTCTAATTTCGATTTTGGAGTAGGGTGATCTTCGATTTTGAGCTGAAAGTCACCATGATCATGAATCAGATTGCCCTCAAATTTGACGAGCGTAGATAATAACATCGAAACTATAATCGTATCCATAAGACCCAGCTGGTTTTTTTATTTTTAAAAATTCGAAAATTGACCCGGCTACTCGGACCAAAAATCGGCTCTCTGGCCTTGTTTTGCACTTTGCCTCGTAACTTTGTTATTTACCACCCAAAATCAGTAATTTTTAACAGGTTATCTTACAATCACCTCTAGAAGGCCCTCGAATAGAAAAATCGTCAATTTATGGAATTTTGTGATGGCATGCTAAAACGCGCTCCACGGGGGTTACTGTAGAAAACCGAAATTCGCGATTTTCGTGGTGTTTTTGCCATGGAATCGCTTTGATCTTTTCGTAAAACTAATAGTAGCGGTTTATGGGCCAACTGACCAAAAAATTTACAAGATTCTGTGGCGGAATTAAAGACTCAGTTTTTAGGCTTTTTCATGAACGTTTGTGGATAGTACGCTCTCATATTTGGCAGCAAGGTGCCCCTACTTATTGCCTAACAACCCAGAAAATTTCAGCCGGATCGCAGCTAGGGGCCCCGAGAAAAGCGGGAAAAACGAAACCTACAGTACCCCCACTGGGGCACGCTTTAGCAAGCAATACAAAAATACCATAGATTGTGGTGGAATATGGTGTGGGATCCGATATTAGTATTTGGATAAGCGATTGGCAAAAAACCAGCCATAGGCAGTGAGTTATAAGCCAGTTATGATTCAAAGAACAAAAATAACGAAAACTCACGAAAATTGTTTTGCTTTTAAAAAATGAAATTGACCTCGAAAAATTCTAAAATTTTGCCATTACATTTCTACAAATTCATACTATTTTTAGGCCAAAAATCAGAATTATCCCACCTCCCGTTTAAGAACGCACAATTTTCGGTCGTAAACAGCGTCAATAGTACAGTTTCGTACTCAAAAATCGAAAAAATCAAGTTGTGTTAAATCTTCATGCCCAGCATATTTAAGCATTCTGGCATGGTAACGTACCTTCGATTCTCTACCGTTCGCGAGTTATTTCGACCCAAACTGTGGGCTTTTTTTTTTGCACACCCTGTATGCGCCAAAAGGTCGTTCAGTTTAAAAGTTCAAATTCAGATTGTCGCCATCGGGTCGGCCATGACGCTGATGGTGTATCAAGCGGACTTGGGTACTAGTTGCGCATACGTTTTTTAATGATTTAGAAACCCTAACCATCGTCAACGAGCATTACCCCCGGCGCCCGTGTGTGGATGTGGCGTTTGCTCCGTTGGTAATGCAGGTATGGTGGTTTGGGGGAAGTTTGTTAAAGAGCTCCGAAATCTGGTCCACGGCCCCCTGCGCTGATTCCCAGCAAATAGCTGGATGTCACCGCAACGCGAACGCGCCGCATGATCTTTTTTTGCTGTTTGGACGTGAAAACGCTTGAATTTAAAGATTCTGACGTTGTTTCTGGAATCCTAGCCGAATTTTGATGATTCTAGACTGTTTAATTATGAAAATCGACCAAAGAATCACCGAGATGGAGAGACTCGGTACCTTTCCAGTCTCACCGAGAGCAGGAGGGCTATCGAATGCACTCGAAAGGACATCTCATCTTGGCCACCGAGTCCGACATCGAAGTGCTGGAATTTTACCTGGGTGGAAGTCAAAATGGTAAGTTTTTTCGGTTCCTTGGCATTTCGAAGGGGTGGAAGTGAATAGTGGCGTAAGAGTATGTATGCTAATAAAATTTTTGCTACAAACTTAGCTAGGTTTAGGTAAAAATACTATCTAAGCGACATGAAAAATCGGCTTTTTTGGTTAAAAAAGAGACATATTTTATGGTTCGTTAATGAAAATTTGGGAAGTTCTTCCGCCTAAGAATATTAAACACAGTTTACAAGCACCTCTCCTATTTATGTTGAAAAAAAATCGTTACTTAAGAAAAATAGCTCCCCCCCACCCCACCCCGGATCATACAAAAGCACCGTTTTCTCCTAGAACATATCGTTCAAGACGAACACAGATTTAATGTAGATCAATTACGATTTGTTTTATGATTGGATTTTCAGGCCAATACCACAACCCCGAGCCCAGGACGGCAGCTGATGCACCGGACGTGGCGATTGTTGCCCGAAGCATGTTCGAAGTTGGAGGCCGTCTGTGCAGTCTTTATTGCCCAGTCACGGTAACGGTTATCCATCAGCTGGAATGTTAAATCTAGTCCGATCCGCTCCAAAACAGAGGTCTCCACGCATTTTACACAGCCCGGCAGCCGGAAAGCGACAGCGAACTTTTCGTCGGGTATGGCTTGGTTGCGCCCAATTTTCTCCCACCCGTGTTTGGACGTGAAACCGAATGAATTTCGCAAATCTGACGCCATTTCTGTAATCCTCAGACTATTTCTATCCCGCTAGCTTAATCTCGTATTTTAACTCTTGAAATTGGCCCGGGAATGACTGTTCTCGTACAAAAATTGGATTTTTCTGACGAGGGTGTTACCTCTTTCGCAACCAACTCAATATTTCGGGACTTTACGAAGAATATCATGGTATTAGATGAGTCTAGGATCAATTGCTTCGCGACTTTTCAACCCTTGTTTTAAAGGAAGATTGTCATATTTCAGTAAGATTGTGATCGACCTCAGCATCAGTGCTCGGCCGCTTGGATATGATGCCCTGAGCGTACCCTTACAAGCGTCATTTCCAGTTGCACCGGAGCAGCTGAAAGTATCAAGATACTCAAAATCTCTAATCAAGCCAAATTTAGATGTTCTACAAACGGGACACGGTCACGAATGCTCCGAGTCTAGAACTCTACCATCCTCTCGCGGATGATGCATCGCGATTCGTAATTTCTTCCATATTGAACCCCAGGGCAAAAAGACCGCTTCGCGGCCGTTTTCCACTGGACCCCGCCTAGGATCCATGAATTCGATTTTCTTTTTTTGAAGCTGGTGGCGCAGAAGCCTGACACAAGGAACCATTCTTTAGCCTGCGGAGCTAACTACTGATTTTTCTGCCGGATTTAGACTGCGGTGCGGGGGCCTGGGTGAACCATCCTTGATCTGCGGCGCTAGAGCGAGGGCCAGACCTAAATCTCACACTTGAAAAGCCTAGAAATATGTTTTCTTGTTGAACTATCAAAAAGCAAAAGATGATTTTGTCGGGGATCCGAACCTTCGACCCTCAGCCGAGCACTACACCACAGCGGTGGTTGGGGCGGCCACAGGAAAGATCTCTTCATATCCTGGGGAAACGCCTGCATCTAAAACACACATACTTTTTTCGCTTATGGGATAGGATTATTGCCTTTTTTCAGAAATGCGCTGTCTGGGACCTCAAGCAAAATGAATGCAAATTTCAAAAGGAGGTGGCAGCCTTTGAGTGGATAGAAGAGGGTGGAAGAATCTGGTCGGTAGGTTGAGCAAACCGAGAATCTTTACAAGCTTTTTAGTTGAAATGGCAGGAGACCTACTATATGGTGAAAAAGAGAATGGTTGATTGGATGATCGCAAGGCCGAACATGGATGATTATGGTTTGTTTTAGGTCATCAGGGTTAAAACTTAAGCAAAAAAAACATGTAAAAAAAGATATTTAGTCCCGCCGCACTACCTCCATCGGAAAAATGGAGAATTCGGATGGCTGATGCCCAAGAAATCGAACGGGAATCCGGTAATTAATTCCCGTTTAGAGTACACTTTACTCCCCTCCCCGGCCGGAAGTGTTTGGCTATAACTTTTTTATTTTACATTATGATAGGTTCAGATTCAAACTTTTAGTGTATTTCTCGACGCTCTATCGGGTGGCATTGCAAAATCCCCGAGAAAATCAGCGAAAATACCGAAAACTTTGAGACCCTTCGGCTGTGGGGGAGGGGGTAAAGTAAAGGGATACCCCAGTTTATTCCCACTAATTCGATCATTTGAGAATTTCTTCCCGGACAAGTGCCTAACAAAAATGGCCAAAGAAGCCAAATTCGAGAAGTGGACACCGCTCCTAAAGTAACTTTTTTCTTGGGTTTTTTTTTGGGAAACGCTTCTTTTAGACATCATGCCCTGCTCTACAACGATCACCAGTTCCAGATTGTGCGCGCGCCTGCACACATTACCGAAGGAAACAGTTAATTCTTGCTCTATAATCCCTCTATTTTTTTGCTCTACGTGCCGCTATATTGATGTCATTTTCTTCACTTGTCTTTCTTTTGTTTTTTACACGCATATTACGATGATCTGGTCTAAAGCATCCGGTGGGCGGGCTCCGAGATCTCGAGAAGCTCTTGATAAAAAATACGGTCAACTGAGCATTTCTTTATTTACGTGACGTTTCTGATTTTGAGTACGCGACGGTTCTGGCGAAGTCACGCCATACCGATAGAGAGCTCACCATCTTCAAACGCTAGTGTTGCCAAAGATAGAGTCGGAGAAAGATAGAGAGAGAGAGAGAGAGAGAGAGAGAGGGAGAGGGGAGAGAGAGCCAAGAGATTGAGAGAGGGAGAGATACTCAATTCCAGAGCAAGCATTTCACTGAGATTGGAAACTAGGAAGAAAATCGCAATAGAACTAATGAGAATTCATAAAGTTTCATAGTTTTTTGTCCGTTAAACTCATTAGTGCGACGGGAATTCCTCTTCATGTTCGGCAGATGTCTCTGATACCTCACATTGATGCGCCCAGATGCTGTCTCCTCTTACTTGACCTCTCGACTGGCTTATCTGTCGGCCCGTGCGAGAAAAAGCGTAAAATCGTTAGTGTGTTTGGTGTTTATCATCTAGTATCTGCTATCTACCATTTTATCATTCAGATCATCTCTATAAAAGCGGTCACTCACTTCCATTGACCACTTCTTCTGCCAGCCTGCCTTATTTTAGGGCTTGTTTCTTGGTTTGATCTACGATTAATTGTATTATAAACATAATTCATTGCCTCTAACCTTTTTCCTTATAAATTTTTTCAAATATTATAGTCTATTGATGTTTCAGCTGTAATAAACTATGATACTTTTAGTGCCGACAATGATTCAAAAGCGAGCTCCTGCAACAACCTTTTTCCCGCCGACTCTGATGCCAAGGACGGCGATCCACGCCTTCCGAAGTGATGACCAGGATTTTGTGATAGCAGGTAATCAATTTTCATGGTTCGATGTATTTACATAATTTTATTGACTCAATAACGGTAAATTTTATAGAACCTTAACATACTAAATACTGATTAAACTGTTGGGATTCAACAATGACTCTTAGATTTTAGAGCTTACAAGCCATTTTAATAAAAAACAATTGATGAAAATATTATTAAATTTAGCTATCGGCCACCTCGTCGAGGTGGTCCCAGTTGACGGCGAGCAGAACTTCATGCCGGAAAAGCCGGACGCCCAGCACTTGTTTCCGGTTTTTGAACAGGGCGAGAGGATTGTGCAGATCCAAGTCGTTCAGCCGGCGAAAAAATCTGGGCGGAAAGGTAGTTGTAAATTCTATTAAATTTTTTACGAATTCTTAGATAAAACCGTCGTCCTGCACACCGACTCCCTGAAATATGCGTATTTGGAGCTCGACTTGCTGCTGCAGTGGATCGATGGCTGCGTGGAAAGGTGCGTTTATAGGAGTGTAATGTCATTAAATATGGCAGAAAATAGCATAATCCATTGTTTGGCCTTTTTAACACAATCAGTGCTGAGGTTGCGTTCATAGCAGCGTAATGTCATAAAAAAACATCAGAAATTAGCATAATCGTTTTATTGCCTGGTTATAAGCCTACAACAACTAATCTAATATTAACATAGCCAAAAGTTTATCTCTGCATCCTCCGATACCAAAACTTCCGCATTTTCGAAACCCTCGTTAACCGAAGTTTTCTAGTTTGTAAGGTCATGAACTAAGAAAATCACTTCGTCGGGATGCTAATAATTTTTCAGGCCGCCCCATAAGTGGAAGACCGTCGTCGACATGACAAAAATCAAAGGGGCTGAGCGACTTCCAGCCGATAATATTGCACAGAATGTCGTATGGACCCACAACAAGGGGAAAATCACGGTTGGTTCTATGGATTTCCTTAATTCAATTCAATCGAGAGCTTCATTTAAATAATCCGATTTAGTTGGAAGGGCCAGTGAGACTCGAGATTTTGAACCCGTTTACGAAAAACGGAGAATCAATGGTGTTGGATGGCCATATGGGCTATGGCCTCTACACGTAAGTTTTTGATTGATATTTTCCCAGAATCCCGTACGCTCCTTGTACCAAATACAAATCATTTGCATAGAATTTACGGTTTTACAATATACGGTTTTTCGATATCAACGATCATAAAAAATTCTAAAATGTTTGAGTTTTGACCAAAAATGTTTTAAAAATGCAAAAAACCCCTAATCTTCAAGCTTTTCTAAACTTGCAAAATTTCAAAATATTTCTTGTAATTTGATCGCAGCTAAGCTTGCAATTTCTAAAATCAATATGAAAATACGTTGGATTATTCACAGACAAAAATAACAATCATCCCCTTTCCCCCCGCTAACAACCCATTACCAATATTTTCAGAGATGAGGGTGGGCGCTACTTGACTTCGGTGGGCGCCGAAGCGGACAACTACGTGGTGCTCGCGGAAGGCAGCGATTTTTTAGAGCTAAATTTTGGCGGTCTTTGTGGAAGCGGAAGCAGGCTACCAGAGGTGAGTGAAAACCGGAAGTACATCTCCGAAAGTGACGCCAGGAATTTTTTCTAACCTGCCCTTCAGATGTCAAGCGACGGATTCGAGGGCTGGGATCTGAAATACATGGCCAACGACGTGTATCTGTTGACGCTGGAACGGTTTTACCTATGGAGCTCGGTGACGCGAAAGGTACCACATTTTCAAGCATACAATTTACGTAATAATTTTCAGGTCTCGAGTGTTGCGTTGCCGATCCGCGGATGCATTGACGGCCCTAAAAATCGAATTCACGCCATTGTATCTGATTATCGGAATGATTTTAACGCGGATGTCTTTGTCGTAGTTGACGGTAAGTGTTTGATACGGCGCTAAATATTGATTCACGTTTTTAAAACTTTTTCTCGCTCTCTACTTACGGTTTTGTCATTTTTCAGAGATGGTCCTGCGCTTCAACGTGGAATCTCGTGACCAGACACTCCAGCTGTGCAACTTATACAGCCCTGGAGTTGGGCGGATCACGGCCTGGACGGCCACCACCTGCAAGAAGTTCATCGATCCGCATTTCGTAGGTGGCTTTGTCAATTAATGAAAGCCAAAACTTTAGCACGTCGCCGGGGCAAAGGGCATCGTGTCGTTTACCATGCAACCGCAACCACGAAAGATCCGCACGTTGCCTACTCTCAAAAAACCGGCACTGACTCAGGTATTTCCTTGCACTTTTCCACATAAAATTTTTGGTTCTGGACTGTTAGCGGGGGTGGGATTTTAGTGGGGGAACCAATCTTTAAAAAAATATATATATTAAATGAAGACTAATTTTTTTTAGTTCTACGCAACTTCACGTCCGGACCACTTTGTTCGTCTGCACAACGGGTTTGTTTCTCATGTAGAGCGTCAAAACGATTTTTCAGAAACCTCGTGCCCTCCCGTGAAGACTCCGTCGTCCCAGAATTGGCCACCGGGCCCTACGTCCGGTTTTTGGACGGCTATCCGGGGCTCGATCGCTACGTGCTGCTGACGGAAGACAATCATGTGAAATACGTGGAAATCGATATGGGAGACCCTAATGATCGTGAGTTTGCCTAGCATGTCAGAATGTATCGTATGTATTTAAACCTACTTTACGAAAAAAGTTGCTTAGAAATGTTGTCAAAACATCGAAAAACCTGCTTTTCGATAATTATACGGCCAAATTCAGAATGCCGAAATTTGACAGCGTGAAAATTTCAAAATGTCGTAATTGATATAAGCAAATTTCCTGGGGGGGAAAAACCTTAAATCCTTTGCAAAAAGCGCCAACCTACTGAAATTTTGACGTTTTGAAATGTTGATATTCTGAAATTTCGACATTATGAAACATCGAAATTTGGAAATGTCGGTATTCTGAAATTTCGACCGGTGACGTTTCGAAATTTCGAAATGTCGATATTGTGAAATTTCGACATTCTGAATTTTCAACGCCATGATTTTCGACATTTTGCCATCTTGACAATATGAGACCGAATCGCTTGATTCTCTCGTGTGCGACCAGATCCAATTACCATACAACATTTTTCAGCTGATCCGACGATCACCCAATATGTGTTGCCCAATCCCGCCGTCACCGCTCCACTCTACGTGGAAGGGGTCCACTATAATCCGGTCTGCTTCTGGGGCTCTTCGGAACTCACTCACCAGTAGGTCACCCTGAGCATTCATTTAACGTGATTTTCACTCCAGGACGATTCCCATCACCTCGTACATGATTACGAATCTGGTGACGTGCAAGATGAGTGTAAGTTCGAAACACAGGATTTGTAGCAATACCACATCTTAGGTGTGCATTGATGGTAGAAGCTTCATGAAACGCGGCGAGCCAAGTCATCTTGGCGAACTGGAAAATGGTTTCTTGGAGGGTGATCCACTTCTGAAGCTGTAAGTTTTCGAAGCAGCTTTCCAAGAGGAATTATGGTGTATAGATTTATATAAATCCATGGATTATAAAATATAAATAACTATATATGGTGCTTGCGCATTATCGGGGGGAGAAGAAATCTTTTCTTTAGAACCTTATTTTTTTAATCTAAATAGCGGAAGTGTATCTAAACTCTTTCCTACTATTTATAAACGCAAATACTTACAAATCTTTATTAAAGAATACAAATAAATATAGACTTTTCCACCAAAAATAGCCGTTTTTACCACAATTACGGCTTTTTGGAAGAACTTTCAATCATTTCAGGGTTCCGAAGCATTTGAGAGTGGTCAAGGCAGGAGTTCTGGTCAAAGCTATGGCGGTCCGGGTCCTTGTCGTCACAAAGTATTTTCGTTCGATCGAATTGGATGAATTTTTTGTAGTCACTATCTATTAATGGAGAAGATGGACTGTCGTTATCAGCGTCTAAGCATCGACACATTGGTGAAGTTCAACAAGCAAAGGTATGCTTCCTGGTTCTCTTTCGAAAGAGCCTGGACGTAAATAAAATCTAGTAAAAACGACAAACGTGTTTTTTTAGAACCATCTCTGGTCCTCGGATCCCGATACCCAGCGATAAAGAGCGCAACCGGCAGATTGTCGACTTTACGGTGTCCGACGGCGACAAAGAATTTATGGTGCTGCTCGAGTGTGCGTATGTGGTCTACTTCAAATGGGATCATGTCAAAAGTGAGTTTTTGAGCGTTTCTGAGTTATTTCTTATGGCGGCTAATTGCTCCGTCATTTTGGCAAGAATAAAAAAGGGTTCTTTCGTATTTTCGGGGGGTGGGGGCTGAGATAACGTTTTTGTATTGAACTAGAAATGTAACACCATCTAATAACTTTAAAAAATTTTCAAAACAATTGTAATTTTGGTAAAAAATAGATGGTTTTTGTAGTTTCAATAAAATTTTGTAAAGTTTTTACTTTAGGGATAGTAAAAATGAGTTTTGAAATATATAAATACACTGAATTATTTTAAAAATGGCTTGTTAAAAAATGTATTCCCCCACCGATAATGCGCAAGAACCAAGAATAAAAACGCGGCCTTCTTCTTTATAATAACAAAATTCCAGAGGAAAGCCGGGCGATTCCGACCCGCTGGAGAAGCATTCCAGGCATGAAGGTGGCAAAGTCGTTCCAGCACTCGATGCTTGGTACTACGCAGGTATAAAAATAACTTCATACCTAATAATTTTGCATCTAGGTGTTTGGGTTTGCTGAGAGGACTGCGTCGAATGGGAAAAAGGTAGGGGAAAAAACGTTTCTTGCCGTTTTTAGTAGATGGTAGTTTTATCCGCTTTATAGCATTTCTGGCATTGTCAATCGGTTTCTCTAAGAGGTTTCGATATATTTTAATATATTTTCAGTTATATTCTATTTTTATAGATTCTCACCCCAGCCATCTACGATCTTGACGAGAACTTCCAAAACATGGTTGCTTGCGAGCAGGATATGAGCGCTATTGCGGCGTTGCCAAACGACCACTATCAAGTGTAAGTGGTCTGGCTTAAATATTAATCTTTTTGCTTTAGACGACAGAGCAAAGACTTCCGCTCTTACTTCCTGGACTTGAAGGGGCAAAAGGCTAAAGATGATGTAGGTTCAAGGCTTACTGTTTTTCTATATATGGCTATGCAAAAATTGTTAGACCAAATTGCTTAATTTCAGGTCCGCATCATCATTCCATCGACGAGAATGAACTATCTGAGGCCTCCCCTCGTCAACCATAAGATCCAGAAGATTGTTGCCTATCCGATGGAGACGTACGGGATCACTTTGGTGGGTTAATTAAATAATATCGAGAACAGCTCCACCCCATTTATGTATCAGGGGGACGCTAATTAGCACTTTGCCACCTTTTCTACCTGTTAGTATAACTAAAATTTTGCAACAGTTTTTTATCCCCTTCTATCGTTTTGATCATAAGGAAATCATAAAAAATTCTTTCTTTTTCTTTGCTCTTGCCTTTTTGAACGTTGCTCTTCCATTTTGACCAAAAGAAACAACCGTTTTTTCTTTTTGGTTTCGAGAAGTCGTTTCGCCTATTTTCGAGGAGTCGAATAGTTTTTTTGCGCGTATTTATAAAACTTAATAACGATATAATTTCAGATTGCCGTGATGGGGCCCGCGCTAACGCTTATGGTTTATCAGCCAGAGTTTGGTGAGTTGATTAGCATCTTTTTTCAAATAATTAAATTTCAGAAAAGCTAACGACCGTCAACGAGCATTACCCGCGGTATCCGTGTGTCGATGTCACGTTTGCTAGGGTTAGCGTTGAGGTTCGTCCATTTTTTAGAAATTTTATTTATTAAATTTAGTTTAATTTACGAGAACGGCTCATGGTATATTTTAATTGTTTCAGATCAACAAAGACCGACAACATGGTGACTGCCACATCAAGGGTTATATGATTCTGGCCACCGAGAACGACATCGAAGTACTGGAATTCTATTACGGCGGGTCAGCGACCAGTAAGTTTTTGGGTCCTAAAAACATCATCTGATCAATACTATATCAATAAACCTTCCTTACAGACCACTTTGGCGATCCAAACCGGCCGAAGAAGGGCGACGCGCCGGAGGTTGTCATTGCCGCCAGAAGCATGTTCAACGTCGGGCCACGTGTTTGCAGTGTTTATTGTCCGACTACGGTCAGCAATTTCGACAAGACCGATATACTTTATGTTTTCAGAACGAAGCCTGGGAGGAGAACCGCTTGTCAGTGTTTTACACGGCACAAAAACCGGGTAGCGAAACGGAAACATTTATCGGGTGAGTTTACGAATTTCCTTACAGATTTTGTCAGGATTTTTCTCACGCTCTTTTGGAACCGAACATGTAAACAATAGCTATAATTTATGTAAAATTAATATGAATGTGAAATTGACTTTTCTGAGCGTCACCGACCGATTTTATTGTAATTTGATACTAAATAATGATAGGTGAAAAATAACTAGACTTTATATAGAATGAATATGAATTTCTCCTTCAGCAAAATGACCATCGATGTGAGCAAGAAAGATTCGCCGCTCGGCTATGATCATCTACGTGTGCCATGCAAGGGGAATTTCGAGCCCGACCAGAAGTTTCAGGTAATAAAAAATCAGAATATTAAAAGCAATAAATTTTATTAAAAACTAACTTGGGCCTAGGCCGAGGGATTTCTGGCGCAAAATCCCCTGCATTTCAGTTGCTCTTCAAGCGAGACGCGAAAACCAGCGAGCCGACGCTAGAAATCTACCACTCAATCCCGACCAATCCAACAAGATTTGTAAGTTTTTCAGCACGATTTTTCACGTATAACGTCGTAGCTTAACATAATCTTATTTTAGAAATTTACCACCTGGGATCTACAAAAGAAGAGTCTTGAGTTCGACAAAACAGTGGAAGCCTTTGAGACGATTGAAAATCATAAAAAAGTGCACTCGGTATGCTTTCTGTAAGATTATTCTATATCATTCAAAGCCGCTTTACACTATGATATCACCATTGAAAGTCCTATTTAGTTAAAATGGCAAGGCAGCTGTTATACGGTGAAAACGCGGGTGGTCGACTCGAAGGTGACAGGACCGACGGAACCGGAAATAGGTATCGTTTTGGTGGATCGCATTGAGAGTTTACTACTTTAAAGATTTAGTTCTAAACGTAACCTATATTTTGAGAACCGTACTACTACCTCCATGAGCGAAATGGCGAATTGGGATGGGTGTTGCCAAAGAAATCGAACGGGAACCCGGTAATCTAATTAATTTTTGTATTTATCCAAAATTTCAGAACTTCATCCCCTACAAATGTCTAACAAAGACTGCGGAAAATGGAAAATTCGAGAAATGGACCACAATCATGAGGTAATAATTTTTTCAAACGTTGAAAAATGGTTCAGAAATCACGCGGTCCTCTACAACGACGAGCATCTGAAAATCGTGCGCGCCGGTTCATGGCTGACGGAGCGAAAAGTCTAACAATTTTTACGTTGATGCCGTATCTCAAATTTCGCTGCTTATATTTACGGGTTGAAGAGTGTAGAAAAGCTGTAAATAAATGTATCCTACTATTGAGGCACTGGAACAAGATACCGACTAAAATAGCAGCGTAAAGTGCATTGTAGCGGACAATCCAATTTTGCCATTCAGCCAAGCCTGAAAAACTAGCTAAACGTCACAGTATCGATAAGGAAAGAAAGAGCAAGATATTTTTATTCTGTTATTTATTAGCATTCTTTTCTTTTTTGTCTTTTTTCCTCGGTCGCTCTTTCCCAAGGTTCGCTTACGCGAGCCATTCTTCGAACTCCGCGTGTCCATAGACGCCGCCCGTATTCCATGAGCCAAGCTGTTTAAAATTCGTCTCTTCAAATATCTATTCTCAATAGATGATTAATAAATTACTATTATGAATATTCCTCCACAACGGCAGGCGCCGACTTTATTCCCTCCAATTTTGGCATCACGGACTGCGACAGCTGCTTATCACTACAGTGATAGAAGTTGCATACCCGCATCTGAGGAGAGTTACCATATTATATCAGGTATCCCATACGAATAGGCTGCTGAATTTAAAATATAGATACCTTGACTATTCATTCGCTTTTTATTTTATTTTTGTGCTTTTAGCTATCGGTCACATTATCGAGCTTTCGGTCAAAAATAATTGGGAACGTGGCCCGGATTTGCGCACCCTGGCCCCGAGTTTATTTCCTGTTTTTGAGGATGGAGAAGAAATTGTGCAGCTGCAATTGGTTTTCGATTGTGACAATTTTGAGAGCGACGGTATAATTTAAATTTTTCAAAAAACTTTTCCTTTGTTCAGAGCGGCTTATCTTCGCATTTACTAAATCGTGGAAATATGCTATCGTAAAATATGGACATTTACGATCTTATATTAAACACGGCGTGGATTTGGGGTAAGTTGATTGATTTTTGATGAGAAGAATTCCTTCTTACTAAAAAATATGCGATTTTCAGACCGGCTGATTTTTGGAAGGCCGTGGTAGACATGACAAAAATTAACGGAGGCGCTGTGTTGACAGATTATACTTTTCCTACAAATATAAGATGGAGGTACCAGCCGGGAGCACAGCGTATCACGGTAATTCATTTTTCTGCAAGTCATTAATTTGTAGCCATAATTCGATAATAACATAACATTTAGGCAAAAGGTCCGTTACACCTGGATATCTTGAACGCCCTGGACAAGGATGAAGCTACAGTTTCAATAGAACGTCATTCGAAATTTAGGTGAACTCTATCTATTTGCCCTAAAAAGCATAAAGAATTAAAGCCGAATTGACGAACGCTACCTAAGCGCATGGGATCAGAAGTTCAATGTGTATGCTGTGCATGTCGAAGGGACAAATTGGGTCGAAGTGATTTCGGAGAAGCAGCTTTATATACCCTTGTCTCAGGTTAGCTTACCCACATCAAAAGCTTTTCCTTCCTACATCCTGGTCCCTTTAAAGGAGCTCCGAACTGCCAAATCAAAGCGATTTGGGAGGGTCTTTGATTTCTGGCAAATTGCCATCGGGTGCTGCGGGACGAGAGCCCTCAGTCTTTCGATTTTTGCGCGAAGGTGTTTTTGCCCGGTTTCATTGTGAAAACACTACAATTTGCGCATTCTGAGCCCATTTTTGAAATCCTCACTCAATTTTAGATAGTTTCGGTGTTTTAAGCATCACATTTGATACAGAAACAGCCGAGAACGTGATTTCGAGGTGACAACAGGCAATTTCAATTTCCCAAGCCCCTGGGTGTACAGAGGCCTCCGACGTACAGGGTTCCGAGTTTCGGGCTGTCACTGGATTTTTGGCATTTCGTAGCCCCTTTAATGCGTAAAGCGTCCATTTCAGGTCGAAGAGGATGGCTGTATCGACGGCTGGGACTTGGCGGCGGTGAACGGCCATGTGTTCCTTCTGACGCACACTCGATTATATCACTTTGACACGACCACTATAAAAGTACCTATTATTGGTCGTGCGCAAACGATGCTTGTAGATTGACGTTCTGGCCCTACCAGTGAAAGGTGTCACCAAGGGTCCACAACACCGGATGTTCACAACCTCCTACCATCTTGAGGCTATAGACGGCAGGAGACCAACTGTAGATATTGTGGTGGCGGTTGACGGTAAGTGATAACATAATAAAGGAGTGGATTTTCATCTAATTTAACCAAAAACCGGAAATTTAAAAGATGACTGAACTCTTGATCGAGGGGTACACATAGAAGAACGACGGAGGCTTTTCAATTTAAGAAAAATAGTTTCTTAAACGTTTTTCCGGGCTTTAAAATAGCTTCATAATTTTCGGCACTCTTTCGAAATATCGAAAATCAGCAAAAATATTAAAAATACCGAAACTAGGGTCCCCCCCGTTGTCCTAAATCTGTGGCATCCATCGTTTCAACCAATATTTTTATGCTATCAAGCGTTTATATCAGATTTTGTCGTGCTGTGAGAATTTCTTAGTATATTTTTGGACGCTCTATCGGATGGCACAAGCCAGGTCCAACAGTAATTTAATAGATATTGAAAAAAAATGATTAATGGCCTGATTCCCCGTGTCTTTTTTGTACATACCTCAACGGATGGAATGGATCGTAAACTATTATATATTACTTAAATAAAATTAAGCAGGCGCTGAAATTAAACCATAAAATGCTTTAGATTTGCTGATACTGTATGCTGTGCAATCTACTACCAATCAGCTGGCATGCCTTCAGATGCATAACCCTGGTGTCGGTCGCATCACGGTGCTGGCCCCAGGTCGAGATTTTGTGAGCGACCTTCCAATAATCACTCCTCCTTTATTTCAGTGGGTCGCTGGTCCAAAAGGCATTGCGAGTGGTTTGCGATCATCTAGAATCCGGGACGATCACATACACTTCCGGTACGTACACAAATTCTATCGTCTTTGGCTTTACGCCATACCTTCCCCGTAGTGCTGTGGGCTCTTTATCAAAAATTTTGGTAGTTTCGGCTAAAGCATTATGCAACTACAGGGTGTCCCAAAAAAATCGACCCCCCTCTAGCGGGCCGCAGTCATGTCCGATTTTGACGATTTAGGTATCTATCGAAAGCACTCGAAAAGGCGAGAAAACAAGCACTTTTCGTTTTTCAATATGGGAATTTTAATTCATTAAATTTAGGGCCAAAATCGATGAAAACTGCAGATTTTATGCAAAATCGGCATGTTAATTGCTTGCTAAAGCAAACAGGACGATGCTGGTTTTACGCTTTTTACAGAAATCATTGAATATCGAGCGAAGGCTAAAAATTTTTTGGAAAACCAAAGGCGCTTGTTTTCTCACCGTTTGAAGGGCTTTCGAATGGTGTGAAAAACATTCCGATCCGAGCTTTCTGCGGTCCGCTAGAGGGGGGTCGATTTTTTTGGGACACCCTGTACTAAGCGCTTCCGGCAACAAAACATTAGTTTTCCGCCCGTTCAGCGTTGAAAATTGTCCCGCACTAGCCGGTTTTAATTTCGATAGTTACCAAAATTATATAGGCTCTCAGAAGCCTTTAGCCAGTATACTACCAAAATGTCGCGAAAAAATTCGGCATCTCGGTGAACTTATGACTTGAAAACCAAAATTTGATAGATACTTGGCGGGAGATGTAACCCTACCGACGGAATTACCGGCCTTTGAAAGAAACGATCTTCGTCAGGTATTTACTTGAACAAGTATGGCAGTTAGCTCAATCACTTGTTGGAAAGCTTTTTCTGACGTTTCGGTTCGTCTGGTCCCTCCAGATCCGCGTGTTACGGCTAGTTCCTTACTTACTCGGTGACGCGAGAGCTTGAGTTCTCTCTTCCTTCTAGCGTGCGGAGGAACTTTGATTTCTAGAAAATTTCTGTCGCGCGCTGGGGGGGGGGCGAGCCTTCATTTTTGTTTTTGCGCGAAAACGTTTGTGCTCGATTTCTGTGTAAAACCACTAAAATTCGTAGGTTCTGAGCTCATTTCTGCAATCCTCTTTCAATTTTCAATTTTCTCCGTTTCTTGATCGGGTTTGGCCAGAGACAGTGAAGAACCGGATCCTGGAAATGACGACGTGAAATTTCAAAACTTCCACGCTTCAGCCTTCTGGGCGTATAGAGGCCTTCAGCGTACATGGCTCCCGTTTCGGACCCTATCTCAATTTTTGGAGCATCGGAACCCCTTAAAATCAAAATGCACCTTGATACACTAAAATGCAATTCGCGCTTAATGATAGCATTTGCTTAGGTTTATCCGGTGCCGGGCGGCGACCGCATCTGTCTGTATAATGGGTTGGTTTTGCAAGACTTCATAGCATCACCTATATTTAGGAACCTTGTACGCTACAGTTATGCGTATTGGGCTCGACAACTTTACCGACCGCCTCTCCCCAAAGGGCCCTATGCCTACTTCCTTGATGCGAATACTGAAAAAATGAGCTTCCTTATCCTAACAAAAAGCAAGCAATGTGCCTACGTGGAGTTGAGCCATCACAGTCTGGGATGGCGTAAGTTTTATTTTTAAATGTACAGCGAAATGTGAATGGCTAGCGTGAGCGCTAATGAGGCGAATAGCGGAAGAAAATTATTTGGAAGCACGATCAGGGGGGAAATGATTTGCGTGAGCTCTGTTTTGGCGCGAAATCGAGAAAGGGGCAAGGTATAACATATCCATCACATAGCGGTTCATCTAAGCCGCGTGAACTCCGTAAGAATTCTTACACAGTAGCGTGTACAAACAAGTCAATATCAGGCAAAATTTATTTTAGAAGTCGATATGGAATGCGACGCGCCCGTCTTCATGGCAACAATTGACTATGAACCGTTCTGCTCATACCATACGCCGCACTTCTGGTATTTTGACAACGCTGCGAACCTCGAGCAAGATCGGTAAATGGATTGACTTTGAGAGAGAGAAAGAGAGAGAGAGAGAGAGAGAGAGAGAGGGCAAACGAGTGAGAGAGAAAGCCTCTACCCACTGATTTAGACCGAAGATCAACCAGCCGTTCCGTTTTCTTTCCATAAATCGTCGCAACTGTCAGATCATCGTAAGTGATGGAATAAAAACTGAAAATTAGCCATTTTAAGATCTATATGGACAGTGGGCTCTTCATCCCGCGCAGCGCATTTAGCCCACGAGACCTTCCAGCCGATTCGTGAGTGTGCCAAATGTCGCGTTTTGAGAAACGGTGAATTTAGATCGCCAGATTTTAAAGTCGTCAAGGTCGCCTGCATCGTCACACCGCTGGTCAACCGAATTATCGTGGCAACCGAGTTGGTGATTTTTGCGTGGTCTTAGCAATTATTTCAGACACTTCCTGCTGATGGAAACTCGCTCTGGTTACATTGAGGTTCACGTCATTGACAAAATGAGTCGATTAAGCCAAACGTAAGTTTACACCCTACCACCTTGTTAAAATAACATAGTGCTGGGTTGGAAAACCGCTTCGCGGGTTTACAACCCTGTATGAAAAAGTACGCTGTACAGTAACGGACAAAAGTAAATCACCCCCCATTTTTCGACTTTCTAGGCCGATTTCCTGAAAATCCCTGGCTCGAAAATACTTAATTGACAACTTACTAGATGTAAAATTACATGCTGATTCCGAATTTGATACTCCGAAAGCCCGGAAATGTTATTTTTAGGGCGAAAATCGCGATTTACTTTTTACCTCAGAACACGGTCAAAAACTAACTTTTTTGTACGGGGGTTTTCGAGGTGCGCCATTATGATATTCGTAATCTCCGATATCAAATTAGCCGGAATAAGTGTTTTCCGGACCTTTATGGGGTGTCTAGATATCATTTCCGGAAATCGGCCAGTTAGCCTTCAACGGGCCTTTAAAAGCGGTTTTCGGCGTATTTCAATAGCGGATCCAGAATCTACAGGGTCGATTACATCGGAAATAATGTGTTTCTAATGCGAAGAAAACAAAATGATTTTTCTAGAAGCATTTGTTTGGAAAGCGCGACCGCGAAAAGTCAGGTCGTGGAAAGGAGGGCTCGAAACAGGTCAAAAACTATTTTTCCGAGTGTTCTCTTGTATCACATCGGAAAGAGCACTATCGAATCTATAGGAAAACATTGTTTATGGCACGAAACGGAGACTTTCATTTTTGGCCAGTTTGTTAAGCGAAATCGCAGCACCGGCGGCGGCATTTTCTCGGTCGTCGACGACAATTCTTATTCTTAAGTTTCGAGGCTTCCGGGAATCGCGAAAAAAAATGGGAACGAACTTTATTTGGGTAATTCGATAGCGTAGATTCCGAATTTGCTAACGAAACGTTTCGAAAACGACAGGGTAAAAAGTTAGCATTTTTGGCTTTTTGGGCTTTTGGTTGCTTCCAATTCTTTCATCAGGAATAATTGAGACTTAATTTTTCTTTGAAAAATGTTTTCTTACACATTCGATAGTGCTCTTTCCGATGTGATTGAAAAGAAGTTGGCGAAAAATAGTTTTTGACGTGTTTCGAGCCCTCCTTTCCACAACTCGACTTTTCGCCGTTGCGCTTTCTAAACACATGCTTCTAGAAAAATCAGTTTTGTTTCTGCGCATTGGAAACACAATAATCCTAATGTAATCGACCCTGTAGATTCTGGATCCGCTATTGAAATACGCCGAAAACCGCTTTTAAAGGCCCGTTGAAGGCTAACAGGCCGATTTCCGGAAATGATATCTAGACACCCCATAAAGGTCCGGAAAACACTTATTCCGGCTAATTTGATATCGGAGATTACGAATATCATAATGGCGCACCTCAAAAACCCCGTACAAAAAAGTTAGTTTTTGACCGTGTTTTGAGGTAAAAAGTAAATCGCGATTTTCGCCCTAAAAATAACATTTCCGGGCTTTCGGAGTATCAAATTCGGAATCAGCATGTAATTTTACATCTAGCAAGTTGTCAATTAAGTATTTTCGAGCCAGGGATTTTCAGGAAATCGGCCTAGAAAGTCGAAAAATGGGGGGTGATTTATCAGGTTGGAACGAAAGTTCTGTCGCCGAGATTTTGAAAGGCTGGCTAAATTCGTAGATAGCTCCATTCTGCACATGCGATATGTCATTTTGTAGCTCTCAGCCTGAATGGTTCCGGGAGGAAAGTCCTGGGCCCCCAAAACCAATAACGGCCGAGATACAGGCCCAAGAAGGTTTTTCAAAAATTACGAGGAAGTGTTTTTGCAAGTTATCTTTGCATAGATCCATTTGCATGCGATACCTTTAACGCCAATCGATAGATCTCGAGGAGTAGATATCGATAGATGTTAAGATCATCAAAATTGGACACTGGATGGCCGAGATATGGCCTCTCGAAATTTGGCCCAGTTCTTAGAACTTTTCTCGATTTCCCATACATTTCCAAACATTTGTCGGACAGGTGCCAAAAATTACCGCTTTATTTTTGGACTAGCGAAGCGGATTTTGAAAAAAATGTATGGGAAATCGAGAAAAGTCCTAAGAAATGAGCCAAATTTCAAGAGGCCATATCTCGGCCATCCAGTGTCCAATTTTGATGATCTTAACATCTATCGATATCTACTCCTCGAGATCTATCGATTGGCGTTAAAGGTATCGCATGTAAATGTCTCTATGTAGAGATAACTTGCAAAAACACTTTCTCGTATTTTTTGAAAAATCTTCTTAGGCCTGTATCTCGGCCGTTATTGGTTTTGGGGGCCCAGGACCATCCTCCCGGAACCATTCAGGCCGAGAGCTACAAAATGACATATCGCATGTGCAGGATGGAGCTATCTACGAATTTAGCCAGCCTTCCAAAATCTCGGCGACAGAACTTTCGTTCCAACCTGATACTTTTGTCCGTTACTGTATATAGGCCGGACTGCCAACAAGTTCAAAAAATCCCTCTCAATTCCTGCGGATTCTTTAATTTAATTATTAAGTATCAACCTCTATCGTTCCGCCGAGTTGCAAAACCGCATTTTGCTCAGTATTTCAAGCTCTTTCGAATGAGCTAGGTCTCGTGCCAAAACTCCATTTGCACCTAAAAACGTCTCCTTGTAAGAGGAGAGCAAAGAATCTTACAAAAAAAACTAAGTTTAATGGCGAAATTGGGTGAAAAGTCTAATATCTCGACACGCGATCCCGGCCCGTTCTACACTGAATTTAGACCGTCCAATGAATCGACAGACCCGATTTCGGAGGACAACATTCGTGGCCGGAAAATCGTGGATATGGCCGTCTCAGCGCACTCCCACGACATTATTGTGCTGCTGGAGTGTGGATATGTGGTCCATTATGAGTGGGGTCTGACGACGCTGTGTGGGTTCAAAATGACTGTCAGGTAATGCAAGTAATTACAGTTCAAGTGGCCTACCGCCAGGGGCGCTGGAAAAGCCTAAATGGGATGTCCATTGCGCGTTCATTTCTGGGAATTGGATACTTCGGCGTCTTGCCCTCAACTAAGGTACAACAAAAAACCGTCACATTATTTTTTTGGAGCTAGGTATTTGGGTACGCGGAGCGGATTATGGACGATGGTAGAAAGGTAAGCAAACCTGCTGGCAACCTTTTTCCCGCCGATGAAATATTAATAACGCCAATGATTTAATGGAAAAGTACAGGGTGCCCCAATCAAAAACCGCTTCTATAATCAGCAAAACAAAACGCAGAAGTATCGGATCCGGACGATGGTTACACCATTCGAAAAGTCTTTAAACGGCGAGTTTGCAACAAGCTCCAAACCGTGTTTTGATTTAAACGCGCCATTTTACAACAGATTTAAAAACTTCCGGAAACAGCCTCTGCATCTAAATAGCAACTACTTCCGGTCCTTTTGCTGGGAAAAATTGAGGCAAATAGCCCGTATGCAATCCCGAAAAACGAAAACATACAAAACGGATTGTAAGATAGCGGGTTTAAATAAAAAAATGGTTTTGAAGATTGTTGCAAACTCGCTATTTATCATTTCGAATGCGATAAGTCATAAAAGTTTATCATTTCGCCATTTCGAATAATGTAACTATTGTTCCGATCTGATACTTCTGCGTCGAGCTGGAAAGGGGAATATTTTTTTACCAGATGGTTACAGTCGCTTCGCGACTGCAACCATCTGGCCTTCGGGCTACCCTGCATGTCCCACTCCACCACATCCTTTCCCACCTCCATCAATACCCCCCATGACTGAAATCCCCTTCAAAAACTACCTAAATACCTTCCCGGTGGCTTAAGATACCCCCCATGGCTGAAATCCCCTTCAAAAACTACCTCAATACCTTTCTGATGGCTTTAGATACCTCCCCTAGCCGAAATCCCCTTCAAAAACTACCTAAATACCTTCCTGATGGCTTCAGATACCCCCCTTGGCTGAAATCCCCTTCAAAAACTACCTAAATACCTTCCCGGTGGCTTAAGATACCCCCCATGGCTGAAATCCCCTTCAAAAACTACCTCAATACCTTTCTGATGGCTTTAGATACCTCCCCTAGCCGAAATCCCCTTCAAAAACTACCTAAATACCTTCCTGATGGCTTCAGATACCCCCCATGGCTGAAATCCCCTTCAAAAACTACCTCAATACCTTCCCGATGGCTTAAGATACCCCCCATGGCTGAAATCCCCTTCAAAAACTACCTCAATACCTTCCTGATGGCTTTAGATACCTCCCCTAGCCGAATTCCCTTCAAAAACTACCTAAATACCTTCCTGATGGCTTCAGATACCCCCCATGGCTGAAATCCCCTTCAAAAACTACCTCAATACCTTCCTGATGGCTTTAGATACCTCCCCTAGCCGAAATCCCCTTAAAAAACAAAAATAACGACCGACCGGATGGAATGATAGAAAAAAGAAATGAAATCCCCCGTGAAAATTTTCATCCACGAAACGCGCGCCACCTGGCTCACTAGGTCCAAAATCACCCCAACCTCCGTCCCCCACCCCTTTTACTAAGGAAAAAACTTTCAAAGTTAATTTTAATAATTTAAATTAAAACTTTTTCATAATTTTTTTATCAGTTTGGGGGTTTCTGACCACGCTCTATCCGAATCCGAAGAGAGCTAAGCTCTAGCTCCTTTCCCCTTCGAGTTGAATTCGGCTTCAGACGGACAGACGGACGGACGGAGACCACAGCAAAATTATTATTTTTTTATTGGGGCCCCTGAATTTATTTTACCCACCCACCCCTCCCTTACGAGTTTTCGGAAAACGCAATTTACTAGATCCTCGTAGCGGCGATTGAAACCGTGTTTAACGATGACGAGGTGTTGGTGGTACACTTGCAAGACTTGCGCGAAACAGCTTCACTCAACAGCGACCTTTTGAGCCTGTGGTGATGTATTGATCTCATCTGTCAATATATTTTGAAGGCATAACGACGATCGTCACGAAAAATTGCTACTCAGTGTCCAGAATCCAAGGTCCCTGCAAGATGTCAGTTAGCGCTTAGCCCTATCATTGAGGGCTTCCGTGTTTTTGAAACGTTGCTCATTATTTTCAGGTTTCTTGGGTCTTGCCGATGATATCACGAACTTATCTACGAGCACCATTGATCACCTACAAAATCAAGAAAATTGTGGCGGAGCCGATGGACGAGTTCGGATTCTCGTTGGTCAGGTTTTCTAATTCGTTCCAATAAAACCATTGCGTCTTTTTGGAAATTTGTCAAGGAATCATGGTTCTGGTTTGTTAGCGGGGGGGGGAGGAAAATTGTTTTTGCCAGTAGCTTCTCTTATCTTAAATTACATTCTTTTGAGGAGTACAGAAAACTCTTAGTAGATTTTTCGATCTGCTATTCAGTAATGTCGAAAAATATATAAAATAACGAAAAACAGATTTCTAACTGAATTTTCAGGCTATCTTTGCGATAAAGGTATGCTGCTTTAAAATCATGTGCATTTTTAATGCTCAACCGGGCCCCGATAACGTAGTGCTCCAAAAAAATAATTAAATACTAAAAATCTACGATATTAAGCTTCTCCCGCGAAAGGCCCCCCCCCCGCTAGCGAACCAGAACCGAAATCATTAGCGCACGCTTGATAGGTAGCCACTCCAAAAATCAAGTAACGCCGATATTCATGACCATTTGAAGCCAATTAAAATGTCCGATTTCAGCTCGCAGTCATCGGCACCGGTCTCACGTTGCTTGTCTATCAACCGGAGCTAGGTTAGACAATTAATGGTTTCGCTTATTTGCAAATTCAGAGAAACTAACGGTTCTCAATGAACATTTCCCACGCTACCCATGTGTTGATGTCGCCTTTTCCATGGTAAGGAAATGATTTTTAACGCAAATTGGCTTGAAAATTAAACTCGAAAAGATCAACTTTGTCGAGTTTTTGGAATATGAAATTGCCGCATATTGAGTGACCTGATCCAACTTTGGCATTATAGGTTAGGAAAGTGGAAGTAGAAGGAAAGACGTGCATACGAGGATTTATCATCTTGTCCACTGAAGCGGATATCGAACTTTTGGATTTCCTTTTTAAGGGTGACCCAACTGGTGAGTTTTTCCGTGGGTTCTTTCAGGAGAATTTTCTTGTGATACAGTCCCAATGTCGTTCTGGCTGCAGAAAACCTGAAAAAATACGCAAGCGTACGTTAACATTTTTCAGTCAAGGATTGGGCCACAAAACAGCCGGTTGGCACACCACAAGCACCTATCCTGCGCAGGAGGGTCATGAATGTTGGGCCACGCATTTGCAAATTATATGTTCCCACCACCGTAGGCTTTTAGGGAGCTTTAAAACGGATTCTTATAGTATGAGACGCTTCGACACCAGCGACTCGCAATATTCTATGTGGCGTGCTGTCCGAAAAATGAGCGTGACTTTTTTATCGGGTATGGTTTGCTATTTTGTATTTTGGAGGGTCTGGTCACTAACGTTGTAACTGCTCGTTGCAATGCAAGCAATCATGGTCGTGAGCAGGTTTTGCGTAATCTGCCCGTTAAGGAAAGGTTGGTAAGTTTCGTTCTCGCTCATAATAAACGGTGTAGTTCAACAAATTTTTGTCAAGAGAGCATTATTGGAGCTAACTTTGGGCAATTTATGGGTTAGCTGACGCTTCATGAAAACTGTGGATTTCCGGGGCAATCGGATCGGTCTAGTCCAACGCGGCTACAGCGTAGAAGGAGCAGCCAGAGCCGCTTAAAGCGCACGTTCAGGGAGGGGCCGTGTACTCGTCCCAACGTGTACACCCTATGGACGTTGGGACCGCGCGCACGGCCTGCCCGTGCTGTGACAGGCCATTCCCCTCCTTTGCGGCGTGGGGCGCCGCTAGGCCCCTCGCCAGGTTGCACCTGTGGCTGACTGGTATGCGACCGCGTCTCCCGATCGGGAGGCCCGGGTTCGACCCCCGGCCGCGGCGAAATTCTTTGCTTTCTTGCCCAAAAACGTCCCTGAACGTGCCCTTTAAGGGGACATTCCGCTCTCCTTTTCAAGGTCTTGAAATGGTCAACACCTTAGCACGCGGTCACGGTAGGTGCTCGACGTCCGGCAAAACCGAACCCGCACCACTCGCCCTGGGGTATGGGCCATAGAGCACTCGGCCAGGAGAGAGAAGGGAGAGGGGGGGGCGAGTGGATATGTTAGGTCTGTGTGGCCGGCCGCCCAAGAGGCAAATTCTCGCCACTGAATAGTGGTTCAGAACGAGAGCGGAATGTACCTTGACGAAGATGTCTTCAATTTCAGGCACTATGCCAGTGGCCTCTGTGTGACAAGAGCCTTCATTCTCGATTTGTGCCCCAAACCGTTTTTCCTTTTTTTCATTGCCAAAACACCACAATTTCCCCACAATCTGAGCTCATTTCTGCAATCTTCACTCAACTTGCCATAGTTTTCGTGTTTTAATCATCGAAATTGGCCCAGAAACAGCCGAGAACTCGATTTTGTAGGTGACGGCGTAGAAAAATTTCCACGCCATTTCCACGTTCCGGGAAGTGTCTTTACATATTTTTTGTCTATATAAAGGATTCATATGAGCGCGAACAAAACATACAATTTTCCGTAACGAACCAGTCGAAACGATTCATCGCGTTTAGAGCATTGGTCGTTACCGAAGCGCCACTTTCCAAAAAACCTGGCGTGAAGCCCCAAATGCGCCGCTCTCACGAACGCATCCCGTGCGTCGGAACATTTCAGCCGGGCCAGGAATTTCAGGTGCGCCTCGTGTTCGTGTCACCTCATAATGATCTTTCTAGCTGATGTTGAAACGCATCCCAGATGTCGTTTGTCCGACGGTGCAAGTCTACTATCGATTATCCACTGATCCAGAAAGATTCGTAAGTGGCAATTCCGCACGCAGAAAATGTCTCTTTTGAAAGAAATTCGGCACATGGGACCTCAAAGCGAAGACGCTTGTATTTGATAAAGAGGTGGCGGCGTTTGAGTCCGTTGAGGACAATGGGAAGATATACTCGGTATTTGTAAATTTATGAAATTTTATTGCGGACTTGATTGCAGCTCAAGTGGCAGGGCAGCTATTATTCGGTGAAAACGCGGCTGGTAGATCCGAAGCGACAACTGCCGAGTGCAGCAGAATCCGGTATTTTTTTGTGATTTGCCGCTATAGAGTACAACTTATCATACTTACAAATACCTTTCGATCTAGGTACGACGTTCTACCTGCATCAACAAGACGGCGCTTTTGGCTGGTTATCACCAAAGAAAACGAATGGAAAGCAGGTAACCGCAAAAGCCTGGTTCAATGCTGGACGTTCAGAACTTTTTTCCCGATAAATGCCTCACCGAACGGGCAAAACGAGCTGATCTCCAGAAATGGGCGCCAATATTACGGTAAGAATTTGTTTACAGGGTTCCCTAAAAACGCCAAAATCTTGCTAAACATTTTGAGTCCGACATCCGTCAAAATCCCAGTTAAATCGGGAAAATACAGTTTAATCTTTCATAGTTTTTCTGCTAGGGACATGCTACATTCAACCACCCCTTTTTCAGCAATCATGCCGTGCTCTACAACGAGGATCAGATGCATATAATTCGCGCATGCCCTTGCCTCTCTAATAAAATTGGTTAAGCGGTAGCATAACCTTCATTTATTTTGTGAATTTGGTATGCTCATATGCTTTGAAATTTCGCGGTTTTTATGTCTCGAGATTCCGGGTTTGAAATGTGGGAAAATAAAAAAAAATGTATGGAATGACATGAAAAAGTTCGCGAAAAAAAAACATTTTGTAATTTGAGTATCTCGAATATGATATCAATAATTGTTACAGCATTTATTGTTCGCAAAAAAAGTCAGCGAGGTCGGATAGGGAATGCAAAGCGACACAACAATGGGCAGAAGGAGGGGCGTAAGCTTGGTGTGGTATTTCTTTTTGAGTACGTTGTGAATGTTGATGAACGATGGTTGCGGGCGGGTCTCTCATTCCTTGCTGGCGCTATGTCTCTTTTTCTTCTGCGCCGGCCCGTTCACATCAACGGTGTACTCCTGAAAAAATTTTTTGAATACGATGACGATATTTATTTTTGAAAAACCAGGGTTGAAAAGCCGCTTCGCGACTATTCAACCCTGGCCCCGTCTGACCCCCTTGTTATCCTTCACTTTGCATAATTGTTCTAAATTGGGATGACAAAAAAAACGCCCTCTTCGGCCCCTTTATATAATCGACTCCCCACTTCCGGTCTATGCTAATTATCCCTAGCAAAGAAGTTTTCACAAAAACTTAAATTTAATGTCGAAAACAGCTAATTTTGTAAAATCTGATATGTGTGCAGTCTTCTCAAGACCATTGCGCACCTAATGACGTATCACACATACCTTAAAATTCATCCCCCATCGAGATATCCTCCGGACAGACAGACGGAAGTGGATGCAAAGTGGCACACACAGACACACAGACACTATTTTTTTATATATAGTAGGATTAGCCGGAAAAATCCAGATAATCGTTCGAAAAGATGAGCAAATTTGGGCTAAAATGGTCCTAAGCTAGCTGTAACTTTTTAAATCCAGCTATTTAACAAAAATGGAAAACAGATTCGGAATCAGCGCAAAATTCTGCACAAAATAGGTCTGGTTTCGACTCAAAACTCCATTTACACTTAAAAACGTCTCCCTGTAAGCGAAAGAAGCGCTCTGGCGGTTCGGAGAAAGCCCGAATTTTTTTGGTCCTTAGACCATACGAGAACTTTAAAAAAACGAAAACCAAACAGCATTCGCTCAATTTGAATTAGGCGATTTTTTAAAAACCTGGACGAGCATCAGCTCCCAAAACTCACCGGGCGTTCCACCTTGTAATTGTCGATTTTCCATCCTTCGGCCAATTTCTGGTCGAATTCCTTTTGGGCTGAAATGGCACAGATAGAGCGATTTTGAGCGAAGTGTATGTAATAAAATAACTTAGTAAAAGTGAGCTATATTCAACTGGAATTACTTATTTACAGCTATACTTTAAAAGGTCTTCAATTATTTCTAAAACGTTCGCCAAATAGATCAATTTCTAGTCGAAAATCGGCATTTTCGGAACTTCTACGGAAAATTTGTAATGAAAAACAATAATACGAAGCCATAAACGCCCCCCGGTAATGCGAAAGTACCGCACATTCTTAACCCACTCTTAATATTGTCCTTAATGCTGGGCAGGAAGACTGGGGTGATGCCGAGGGTCTCCGGGTCGACGATCAGCAGGGCGCCCATGTTGCCCTAGATGGGCAGATAGTTTCGCTAACCGCGATATTGCTGACCTTGCCGTTGAAGTCGGATGACGAGAAGACGGTCACCAGGGGCATGTCAGAGAATCGTTGCAGGCCGTTCGTCATTGGCTAAAAGACAATGTATAGCCAGAAAGTGGCTGTGTTATTTTAAAAACTGATTTTACGACTCCTGAACGTCAGAAATGTCCATTTTTTTTGTCAACAAACCCAAAATTTTCAATTTTTTCACCCGAACTTCTGATTTTTAAGAGTTTGTTTGCTGATTTTTCGGCTAGCTCCAGATAACCCCCCCAGTCGACCCCCACCTACCGTATCTTGGCTCCCTGTGCATCTACAGGTGTGTAAAGTATACCTAAATACTCGCCACAGCAAGGCGAACATTTTGGTATACTTTACACACCTGCAGATGAACAGGGAGCCGAGATACAAAAGTTAACCCTCGTTGGCTAACAAAAAAAAGCTAGTTGAGGATACGGCCGAATAAAGCTCTCAAAAGCCCGAAATGAACCAGCAGGCCGCGGATGATGAATTGAACGCCGAGCCTCTCCATCGCTTCCTTGATAGCCCTTTTGCCCAGGCGATGGCCACAGTCGCGACGGAAGTTGGCCTCGTAACTAGAAGCGCGCGTTTTGGGCAAAATCCAATGCACAAAACAAACCGGTAAGTGCGCAGCTTACCCCCTCCCCCAGCCCCCCCAGCCGGCGCCCAACTTTTGTATCTAGGCTGCCCGTTTGCCTACAGCCTTGTAAAGTACATCAAAATGTTCGCCTTGATCTGATGAGTATTTTGGTATACTTTACTACCCGGAAGGATAACGGAGAGCCAAGATACGGTAGGCGGGGCCAGCTGGGCAAGGTGGGGGGCGGGGGGGGGTGGGGTAAACGGCAAGCCAGAAAACCAAAACTATTTAAATAATTATGTGAGGATTTCAGAATTTAGCTCAGAATCTATACAAATGCTAGTGTTTCCACAAAAAACTTGAGCAAAAACAGTTGAGCGCAAAATCGAAGGAAAAATTGATGTTGTCGCGCAGCGGCCGCTGGCAATGTGCACGAAATCAAAGAGTCCCTTCAAAATGGGTTTTGAATTGACACGCCGGTGTCCCCTGACAGGGATCATCAACGGACCTTCTTCCCACTTAAATCGATGCTTTTTGTGTAAAACTCGTTGGATCCATTTCCGAGTCTCTACGAAAGCCTGATCATGCCCAGACTTACAATTCGACCTCCTCGGATGGCTCGTTCCAGGCAATGCATTTGTTCATCGTCGTATAGCCAGCGTCATGCAACATCCATCCCGAGGTCAGATCTTTTTTGGTCATCTCGATTGCTGAAATGACATTTTAGGCGGGCGGGGGACAGACTGTTGGGGCCAACCTATCTATTTTTTGCGTTTCTTTTTGCTACAAACAAAACTCTTAGCGTATTTATCGAATGTACATGTTTGTTTTTACCCTACGTTTCATTTATTTTCTATTTATTTTTCCCTAATAAAAGCAAAAACTCTTAGTATACTGTTCGATGCATTATCGAACGGCGTTGCGAAATTCCGGAGAAAATAACGACAATATCAAAAAAAGCGGTTCTTTCCGGAGGAAGGGAAGGCGTTCGGGGGGGGGGGGAAACCATTTTTCCTGGCTGTCCCGGTCGACCTATTAATCAAATATAAAGTGTTTTCACATTGTTTTTAGCAAATTTTAACTATATTAAAAGAAGAAAAACCTTCAAAAAAAAGTTAGAAAAATGCTTGAAAAAGCCGAAAACTTGGTCATTTTGCCTCTTTTTTTGTGGATTTTTCGAAATAAAACTAAAATTTTTTGAATTAAAATTTTGTCTAGTTTTTATGCCTAAAAATAGTTAAAAACCCTTAGAAACGCATCCGCTATTTATAAAAAATTTAGGCTTGTGCCGAAAAAATTTGGTCCCCCCCCCCGGAAATCCTAAAGAACCAAAAAGGCACGTCTCTTCCGAACCCCCGCGTGAAATTGTACCCCCTCCCCCACCCCCGTGTAGCCGACAACCGACATTTGAATGCAAGATTTCGCGTTGGAAAAATTCGCTCTTGAGAAAAAAGTTGGTTCGCCAGATAAGCCTGCTTCCCTTCTCCCATAATGCAAACGAATAAAAAACGGACATGGCATGCCGTGCATACACAGAACACGTCCGTCAATCAGCGCCGCGACCGGCATATTTGAGAAGACCTGCTTGAGGATCAGTTCGATCAGATCCGAATTGTAGTGACGGTTCTTGAGCTCGGCCTTGAATTTGGAGCACATCGCCGGGTCTTCGTGATTACCCCGAAGGATGAAAACCTGAAACAAAGGGGGAGGAAACTTAGCCTCGCTTTGATTAGGGCTAAGGCTTAGGCTTAGGCTTTTGCTTGGGCTTCGCCAATGTTAAGGCTTATGCAACAGCAAACATGTACAGGGTGCAGGGGAGTACGAGGGGGGGGCAACAGGGGCAACAGGGGCAGTTTTCAAAAGTTGCGGAACCCCTCAGATTAAAAAGTTACAAGCGTTTTAAATACCCAAAATGTCACAAATCGCTTACTTTAAAACGTTCTAAAAATTCCGTAAAATACTTTTGTGGGGAGAGTAAGGCATTTTCCGGGGTAAAAAAACATGCTCTTTCGAATGGGCTATCTCACGAACCCGTAGCTCAAAATTTGTAAAATTTCGAAAATCGACGATCTTGGGCATGGGTCCGCCAAAAAAAACTTTTTTGCAAATTTTGAGCCACGGGCTCGTGAGGTAGCCCATTCGAAAGAGCATGTTTTTTTACCCCGGAAAATGCCTTACTCTCCCCCCCAAATGTATTTTACGGAATTTTTAGAACGTTTTAAAGTAAGCGATTTGTGGCACTTTGGGTATTTAAAACGCATGTAACTTTTTAATCTGAGGGGTTCCGCAACTTTTGAAAACAGATTCGGAATCAGCAAAAAATTCTGCACAAAATGTGCTATCTCACGTACGGAATTTCCACTTCGACCATAAGAGGGTTACAGTTAGGGTTAGGCATATGTTTGGCTTACTTAGACAAAGGCTTAGGCTTAGGCTTCACAGAGGCTTAGACAGGCTTAGACTTAGTTTTAGGAATTGCACCCTTGCCAAACCGTACCCTGCTGGGGAAAAGCGTCCGGAAGCTGAGGATCAAGGCCAAGCATTCAATTTGACGGGGTCCACGATTGATTATGCCACCCAGGAAGAGGAGGCTTAAGCGTCCAAGCGTTTACAAAATCCGTCAAAACCTACTTGATTTCGGGGCCTTTTTCGCTCATCCGCGATAGCCAGTAATGGAAGATGCGCCAAAGGTCGTTGAACTGAAAGCGGATTTTTTTTATGTGCAAGAATGCAGAATGTTTTGCCCGATTTTTGATATTTTTCGTGCTCAGTTCATCAGAAAATGAATCCAAAACATTGGGTATCTCTTTAAGAAATTTGGACAATAAAAATTTCGACTTTATGAAATTTCGACATAATGAATTTTTCGCGCCCTATAGCGCTCACATTTCCATAGATGTCCCCAACGACGAGTGTCTGTAGATCCGTCTTGATGACCGCTTTAGCCTCTAGCATCGACACGGCCAGGTCATCGACAAGGGCCCGCAGGTGATGGGCGTCCGGCGTGTAGATCGGCTGAATGTGGTGTGATATGGCTTTTGGTTTAGAAATAGGAAAAACGGGGTTCTAGTTCCTTAGCGGGGGTAGCGAGGGAAGAGAGTTTAATGTCGTAGGTTTTTCGATAATTCATTTTTTGGCGACTACATCATCGCGGCCCGGTAGAGCATCAAAAAATATGCTAAGAATTTTCATTCTCGTCAAAACACAAGAATTTAAGAAAGCTGTCATAGAAACAGCAATGAACATGGGGCTGATGAGCTATTTTTCGGGATTTCGATACTTTTCGACATGCTGTTAACGCTATCGGATGGAGTATCAAAAAAATATACTATGCGTTTTGTAGAGCCGCTAAAGAACCGTGATCCTATACCGAAAAATGGCATCCATTTTGAGAGCAACCCTAGGACCAAACGGTCTCCCGAGTGAGAAAGCGAGAGAGAGAGAGAGAGAGAGAGAGAGAGAAGAGAGAGAGAGAAAGAGAGAGAGAGAAAGAGAGACAAAGAGCGATACATAGAGAGCGGTAGATAAAGAGCGAGAGAGAGAGAGGGAGCGAAAGAGAGACAGAGAGACAGAGAGAGACAGAGAGATATACATATTTTTGACAGCTAGTATATGTATACCGAAATGATACCCCTTCATTGTCTTCCGAGAGATATTGTTCACTGTTCAACTTTTCGAGGATATGCAATGCGCCCCTCGTGCCGCCGGGTTCCATGCCAACGTCCCAGGTGTACGGTCGGCGGTCGGGCTTCTTTGGGTGTGCCGATTTCCATGCTCTCTGAAAGGTGGTTTGGCAAGGTCCTTGGAAGTCAACAAGTTTGATTTGTCTACCCCCCCCAGCCAGCACCCAATTTGGCATCGCGGCTCCCTGTTGGTCTACAGATGCGTAAAGTATACCAAAATTTTCGCCTTGCTCTGGTGAGTATTTTGGTATACTTAACTACCCGGTATAATAACGGGGAGCCGAGATACGGTCGGTCGGCGTCGGCTTGGCGGGGGGGGGGCAAACGCAATTAAGCCTAAAATTCGGCACCGAATAGGCTTGGTTCCGTAAAAAAAATATAATATATCGGCCTTTTAATGGAAATCCACTCACCAGTTTCTCGATGTCGATACGCAGGGCATGGCCCTTGTCCGTCAGTTCATAGGTGCCGGGCCTGGGGTTGCGCACGCGCGGTGCTATCTAAATGAATGAATGCATGGATGAATGTGTGGTAATGGTTAGGCATTGGGAACGGTCGTACGATGTCCGCGGACAGATGCCCGTCACAGATCTTGGAGCAACTGACCGAGTGACCCCGGCGAACTGGCTTTTCGGTAAGGCCGACCTTGATGGCGAGGCTGACATCAGCGTTGAAGATATCCGTCTAAACACATCCGTCAAACGACTCAAATGAGCCGAGCGACGCCGTTGGGGATGGCTTTGTGGCGTGCAATCTGTTTGGCGGTGGAAATTTCGAAAACAGCACAGCTAAAAAGCACCGACAAGCAACTCTGCATGACTTGGGAGCTGGCCCGTAGTGCCACTGGCTGCAGTGACTACAGAGTGTCTCAATCAAAAACTCCCCCGTCTAACTCGTAGCGGAAGTGTCAGTACGGAATCGTAGTTACACGATTCGAAAGTCCTTAAAAGGCCGTCCGCGAGTCACCCGAACAGACCCCATTATGGTTTGGCACAGTTTTATTCGACCCTGTTTTTTTGACGCCATCTGAAAGAGCATAGTCGAATTAGTAGGGTGGGACGATTTTTAAAGTTTAAAAAGTTTCATTTTGGGGTTAAAATGGGCCTCAAAGTTGCCGACAACGAAAAATTATCTAGAAAACTATCGAACCGATTTTAATGAAATTTTGCGACAATACATAATTTGGGACGGGGATCATTTCTCTAATACATTGCAACACCTGAAAACGGCAGGAACATAGGTAAACCGCGTAGTGCAAACAGTTTTTGCGGAATAAGTAGTTTTACGGGTCCCCAGAGCGCTTAGCCACTAATGTTAAAAGATGCGCGCGAAATTTCTGCATAAAATGGTGTATCTTCTAGAGCGCTCCGCGCGCCGGTAAAAATTGAAAAATCGAGTTTAATGTGGCGCCAACGCAGCAAATTCGGAAAATTTTTGCGGGGGTAGCATGGCCATACCTCAGGAGCCCAAGTCAGGAAGCTTGCAAAAAAGAGCAAAAAGAAATAAGCTTTCTAAAGGTAGGCTGGGATTGATCTAGAGCCGCCCCAGCGCAAGGATCCCGACCCACTACCAATGCACCACAGCGACAGCCGAACAGGCCTGCAGCCAAATCGGCCCCCGGAGGCCCCTCTCTCTCTTTTCCCCACTATCTCGCCTCCTCTCGCCTGTCTTATGAAAGAAAATAGCCGAATTTGGTGCGTTGGCGCAACATTGAACTCGATTTTTCGATTTTTACGGGCGCGCGGAGCGCTCTAGAAGATACACCATTTTATGCAGAAATTTCGCGCGCATCTTTTAACATTAGTGGCTAAGCGCTCTGAGGACCCGTAAAACTACTTATTCCGCAAAAACTGTTTGCACTACGCGGTTTACCTATGTTCCTGCCGTTTTCAGGTGTTGCAATGTATTAGAGAAATGATCCCCGTCCAAAATTATGTATTGTCGCAAAATTTCATTAAAATCGGTTCGATAGTTTTCGAGATAATTTTTCGTTGTCGGCGACTTTGAGGCCCATTTTAACCCCAAAATTAAACTTTTAAACTTTGAAAATCATCCCACCCGACTAATTCGAATATGCTCTTTCAGATGGCGTCAAAAAAACAGGGTCGAAAAAAACTGTGCCAAGCCTTGTTCGGGTCTCTCGCAAACGGCCTTTTAAAACGGCGAGTTTGTAGCAGTCTTTCAAACAATTTTTTTATCTGAACCCTCGATTTTACAAAGCATCTAAAAACATCACCGGGGTCGGGACGGCCTATGTAGATCAGCCAAAAACAGGTGACGCGAGGGGAAGGGGGTCTACGGGCCCCCTGTCGCCCTCCCTGGCCCAGCTAGCTACTTTCCAATTAGAGATCGGCCGGATATGCGTAGGTCATCGCTATTCCTTGAAGAAACATTCAACTCCCAACCTTTCTTTAAAAAGCAAAAAGCTTTGTCGCGGCTGGGGGCCGAACCCGAGCCTTGGGGGCGGCAGGCGTGCACAAGACCAATCAGCCAGGGGGCTAACGCGATCGGGAATGAACAGGCCTTTTTCCCACAGCGAGGCCTTATCCACGCTTTAGGAAATAGACCAAGCTGGAGCGTGGGCCGATTTAATGCGGTAAATTAGCTCGTATGCAACTCTGAAAAGCCGGGAAATTTTACAAAATCGCTCGTAAAAGCACATTTAAATAAAAACTTGTTATCGAAGATGGTTTCGAAACTGCCGTTTCAAGAGCTTTCGGATGGTGTAACTATCATTCCAATCCGATACTTCTACGTCGAGTTAGAGGGGTTTTTTATTGGAACGCCCAGTCAATATCCACTTATTTTTAAAAAGAAACCTCGTGCATCTGGTGCACTTTACTTGCAAGGTCCCCGTAAACCGCGAGCACGCTACCATTTTCCTCATCAGCCCAAACAATCCTCCTTCAAAGTCGGTGGTGACCAGTTCGTATTGACCATCGGCTGGGTTAAATGGTTTTGGTGGCGGCTTTGGTGGTTCGGGAGCAGCCGAGGCAGGTACGGTGACATCCGGAGTCGATTTGGTCGGGGCCACCGGAGCTGGTTCAGCAGAAGCTGGTGGCGTTGCTGGCGTTACGGGCGTTACTGGCGTTGCCGGCGTCGCTGGCGTTGCTGAGGTTTCTGGCGATGCTGGCGTTTCCACGCTCTCCGCCACCTTTTCCGGATCCTCCACCGTCTCCGTTTTCTTCCTAAAAGTTCAATCTCAAGTTGGCGGGGCACGAGTATGGGCGCTACTTTTTGAGCTTCCACGTCAGCAATGCACCACAGGCCAGCAGTAGGACCAGGCCACCGACACCTGAATAAAGGTTTCGACAGTATCAAGGAAAAGGTGTCTGACCAGCCCCAATTCCGATCAGCGTCTCAGTCGATAGGGCAGCAGCTTCTGTGGCCGGTGGGATGGGGGTCGTTTCGGTTGGGGCTCCGTGGCGATGCGTGCAGATTTTCTGGAAATAATTCGTTGTCAAATATTTTCCCCACGGGATCATCACACCGGATCAGAAATTATCCTACAGTGTCATTGGCTCCCTCGCATGGCGGCGGATCGATGGCCAGTCCGCTGGTGTTGCCGTTTCGGAACTGGACAAAGATGTTCGTGTCGCAGTTCAGAAACTGGTCGTCCTTGACCCTCTGCAGATCCTCTTTCTAAAATGGTACTATTTTCATCTGCAGACGTTGTGAAGCCACCGTCAGTCCGGCCACATTGATGCATCGAGGGTATTGAATCTTCTCCGGGATGTCATCTTGGCGGCGAACACGACCGTTTTCCTCACCTTGCCACAAGAACGGCAGGATCTGGAAAAACTAGCTCATTTTAGCGAGCTTGGCTAGTATCAATGCGCAAAATGCCCTACACGCCCCATGCTCTACACGGCATATGAAAAAGCAGCGCCGTGTTCCTACCATCATAGCTCGTACCTCTTTTTCGTCATGAAGAGTGCTTGCCCCTTCGGATCCACTGTTTGTGGAGTTATTTGTTGCCGTGTCCGACGTCTCCGGAACGTTCGGAGCCGCCGTTGATCCCTCACTGCTGGTCACGGCGCCAAGCATCAAATTCTCGGCTTGATCCATGAAGATGGCGTACGGGCCGGACTGAAAATGGAAAACAGGTTTTAGGGGCCGCAATAACAAACAGATCGTCCGTTTAAAGGATTTTTGAAAGGTACATTCCGCTCTCTTTCTGAAACCCAGGTCAGTAGCGCGAATTTGTCTCTCGGGAGGCCCGGCCCACAGACCCTTCATATCACCTCGCCCCCTCCCCTCCCCCGGTCCCTTTCATGGCCTACTAGTCTATGGCGCTTGCCCCAGGGCGAGTGGTGCGGGTTCGGTTCTGCCGAACGCTTAGCACCTAACGTAACCGCTCGCTAAAGCGTTGACCATTTCAAGACCTTGAAAACGAGGGCGGAATGTCCCTTGAATGACAACCGACCAGTGCTCGTCGGGCTGTGAAGTAGGGGACGACTCCTCCCGGATCCGAGATATCCAGAATGACACAGTCCTCATATGTGGCGGCGCTGAATTGATATTCACATGGCTTGTCACAGTCCCTTGCATGAAGAACGGCCTTCGACGCAAACAGCGAAGATCTGGAAAATGTCATCTGAGACGTTTGTTGCAATTTCCTACGGCGGTCGACCGTCGTTTTTGCAGATTGGTAGTGGCTGACACGTGTCGCCTTTCTGCCGCCCTCCCTTGCCGCAGTACTGCAACTGGCATTTATTGACCCGAATCTATTGAATACCTTAATGCTCAGTGGATTAACTGCATCGTATGGGTAATTGCTGAATAACGAAAGATCTTCAGTAGCGTATCCGGCGGCTAAGTGGAGACTCGGGACACAAGTGATGAACGGTGCATCCGGCCCATCGCCATGTTTATCATGTGCTTCGATGACAATTCTAGAAAGATCATGGCGTCGTAACACTTATTCGGCGAACCTTTTCGAAATTCGAGATTTTGGTCAAAGGTCTTGCATCCTTTGAACAAAACCTTTTCTAGCTTCTACGTCAGGAATAGTAAAAACGCATTGTAAAGACCTCCTCTTCAGAGATTCCAAAAACTGCCTACTAAGGAATCCAGTGGTCATAGATCAAGCAAAATACCTACGAAGGTACTATGAAGCCGGCGTCACATTGCACAAAGTACTGGTTGGTTAATGCAATTCCGATTGTCACGTATGGATTCGTGCTCCTGAGTGGATTATAACCATCAATAATGACCAATTGACCCAACCATGCCTTTCCTTCGCATTTTCCCGATGCTAGCATTTCCCTGGTGCATAGATTGAAGGGGAACATGACTTTATCTATAAATGTTCACGATTCACTGAATAAGAAGTAATACCTTGGCCGTCGTTAATCGTGACAGGCAGAATGCAACCTGGTGCCCCGGATTCTTCCTTGTATTCTGCCGTCTATAAATGAGCAAGGTGCCTTCCGGACAACAGGGTTAGGAAATTGAAATCTATCTGATTTCGTTGCACCCACACAAAATTTTGGTCGACATGCAACGTTCACCATCAGCCTATCTTCTGCTGTCTTCCCTGTGGCACCCGCTTCGCATATCGGGGCTTGACAAGCAGGACATAGAAGCTTCACCCATTCTGGCATCTCCGTTCCACCTTCTGCCAGATGTTCGTAGGCATAACAAATGAACAGACGATATGGACCACACTAAATTAACCATGCAAAATCAGGTGGCCTGGCAAACGTTTTGGATTTCTTCATCACGCCGGATCCGGAGGTGGTTGTAGCTGAACAAGGTAGATGAGGAGTCATTGAAGTGGAAGGTCTGCCGAATATTTCCATCACTGAAAAAAATGAAATGGGAACGGGTAGTAGCAGCGAACTCTTGGAAGTCCAAAAATAAGCGAAAAAACTGACGGATTGCCGTGGCTGTTGCTGAAGAAGACGATAATCAGTAAGTAGACGATCAGCATCGTGTCCCTCAGGAACCGATGACGACGCCTCATCGACGGTCGAGTAGGCGAGGCCGAAATTGTCGGGAGTGTCGAGTTGAATGAAATGGATTTTTCGGAATCCGAACTGATCCAATGCAAACAAGTTCTGATTTTCCGGATGCAAATCAATGTCTTCAAAGATAGATTTTGCCTGAAACCCTGAAGTTCTTCCACGGATGCGGGGTCTGCTTCGTATATTTTAATGTGCCAATTTATTCTAAGTAGCATACTGGGTAGAGAATTTCCTACCCTATAAGCGAGAAAAGTATGTCTGTTTTCTGTACGACCGTTTCACGGCAGTCAGGCCGAATTCCAAGCTGATTTTTGGCATGGAGGTGGAGAAACACATTCACCAAAAAAGGTTTTTCGGATTTTTCGTAATTCCTTCATTTAACGATTTGACAAGCAAAAATGTGAAAAATCCTTAAGATATTTGGGTGCGCACCTTGTCCGGAACTTTTCTCGCCCCTAGAGGGAATTGGGCCCTCATTTTTGGAGGGTAGATGGGAAAAGTAATCTCCCTAAAACATTTTTTCGGATTTCCTAAAATTCTTTAAAATAAAGTTTTTATAAGGATTTTCCTGAAAGGTCCTTAATAAATCGCGGAGCGGGCCGTGGTGTCCGGGCCATAACTCGAAGCCCTGATGGAATTCCGGGCTGAAATTTGGACCATTTATCCAATTAAGGTGGGGATCACGCGCATCTTATTATCTTTACAAATTTTCCACAGATTGAGACTCAAAAATCGAATTTTGTAAAGGACCAGAAGCCCTCCTTCCGGGATCATTGGTCACCCTTATTTTTGCCCTGCCTCCCCAGGACGGAACAGGCCCTTCCCGCCGTCTCTTCCCATGGTGTAGTGGATTGGCGCTCGGTCTAACACGCGCAAGCTCGTGAGTTCGGATCCGGGAGGCCTAGTTTTCGGGGTTAGCGGGCGTAGCCCGCTAACCCGTTTTGGTTTGAGGTATTGCTTTTTGGTAGTTCGGCAACAACTCATATTTCTAGGCTCTCGGTGTTCGAGGTTTAGGCCTGGCTCTCGCTCTAGCGCCGCAGGCCAAAGAAAAGGAAGAAGGTAATCAGATTCAAGGCTCCTGGACGGGGTCCAGTGGAAAGCGGTCGCGAAGCGGTCTTTTCCACTGGTACTCTGATTCCTGAATTTTACTAATGCTTCAGGAGGTCTAAACTGCCGCATAAGGGTGTGTGAATAGACTATTTTTCACCATGCACAATGCACCATACGAAATCGCCATTTTTTTTCCAGTTTTCGTGAAATTTGAGTTAAGGGCCTCATTTTACAGAGCAAAAATTGCTGAATACATTATTCGAAGATTCGGGAAGACCAAAATAGTGGCCCTTGCGTTGGGAAAATTTGTGAAAAATGATCTAAAATGGTGTAGCTTTCTAAATCAACTACGGGCTGTGGTGTCTGTGTGGGTGTGTGTAGTCCCGGATTCAACTCGAAGGGGAAAGGAGCTAGAGCTTAGGTCTCTTCGGATTTGGATAGAGCGCCCTCAGAAACCCCCAAACTGATAAAAAAAAATTATCAAAAAATTTTTAGTTTAAATTATTAAAATTAACTTTGAAAGTTTTTTCCTTAGTAAAAGGAGTGGGGACCGAGGTTTGGGCGATTTTGGATATAGTGAGCCAGGTCGCGCGCGTTTCGCGGATGAAAATTTTCACGGGAGCCATTTCATTTCTTTTTTCTCCCACGTATCCGGTCGGTTGTTATTTTCGTTTTTTAAAGGGATTTCGGCTAGGGGAGCTATCTGAAACCATCCAGAAGGTATGTAGGTAGTTTTTGAAGGGGATTTCGGCTATGGGGGGGGGGGGGGGATCTGAAGCGGTTAGCGTGGGTATTGATGGAAGTAGGGAAGGATGTGGTGGAGTAGGACAGGGCCCGAAGGCCAGATGTTTGCAGTCGCGAAGCGACTGTAGCCATCTGGTTAGGGTATGTTGCGAAAATTGAAAACATGTTTGGAATCAGCAAAAAATTCTGCACAAGATAGGCAGGTGCCGACGCGACACGCCAATGCCACTTAAAAACGTCTCCTTGTGAGAGCTGTTGTCAGGCTAGCGCGCTGGACCACATTAGACTCCGACCACCCTAATAGACTCCGCCTAAATACGTTTCTCCAGTCCCAAATTCTCCTAGACAGACTTCGTCTGTTGCTTATCCCCCTGCCACCATTATGTCAAATAAACAGTTGTTCGATACTTCGTCCTCACGTGCACTTCTACTCTTTCGAGGATCACAACAAGAATACCTTGTTAGGTAGAGGTAGTCCTCCTTGACAGTCGCCTGCCCAAAATCAGGGCACCGTTTTTTCACCGTTTATCCCAAAAAATCAATGACGTTGGTCATGAAAGAAAATACAGGGTGATGCGATATGGGCGGTGTTTGCGTGTAGCTTTTTGGATCAGTCAGTGTCGTCGGTTGTCTCGTCGAGTTTCATAGGTGTCCGTTCTTCTGCGTTTACTTCTTCTCTCCCTTCATCGTGATGTCCTGCAAAGCAAAGCATCGGTAGGTCTTAGAAACGTCCGGGATATCGAATAGACGACTCACGTCGGGGATGACCGCATAATCATCGACTTTCCAGCCCTCACGCAGTTTTTCGTCGAATTCCTCTTGCGCTGCAACAACATTGATATCGTATTTTCCGAAACCTGGCCCGCTTTCTAATATTAGAAGAGCCCACGCCCTGATTTTGGTGTATGGGACTTTTGAGGAGTTAGAGGGACGCGAATAGTATCAAAATGAAGCGCTCGAAATATCTTTGGATTGAGTGGTAAGAATATCGATCTGCCATATCAACCGTCAAAATCTCTGGGATCCACAATCGTAAATTAAATTGCTTGTTCATTATGCCCAGAATATTGAAGTATTCTAGCATCGTAATGATGCCACAATTCGCTTCGGTTAGCGAGATATTGAGGCCCAAATTTTTTTTCAACTTTTTCCTGGCACCATGTTGGGTTTCCCCGCGATCTAGGACCCCTACTCACTCGCGACGCTGTCCTTGTGGCTCACGATGAAGATCGGCACGATCTCGTTTTTCACAGGATTGACGAAGAGAACGGCGCCGAAATTCTCCTAAAATGAAGCGTAGTTTTCTTTTGACCGAGGTACATGAAACTGTAATTATGGGCACGTCTACATATTTCCAGCGAAAACTAATGAGAAACGATCTAGCAAAAAAATGCTGGGTACCAGTGGGTAGTTAAAGTAAAGTTCGAAAAGGCCGAAAATTTGATGATTTTGGATCGAAACAATTTCATTTTAATTTTTTGATCGTTTATGCTTAGTAATTACTGAAATTGCTTCCTCCTTGCAAATGCAAAAAGTCTCAAATGGTCTTACCTCGTTTAGGTAGTACGAAGACGAGAAGACGGTGGCCAACGGGAGGTTGGCAAATCGGCGCACGCCGTTCGTCATCGCCTAGTGAAAGGTGCCGGTTATTGAATGTGTGCCGAAAAAAATTTGGTCCCCCCCCGGAATGCCCATCTCGTCGAGCAGAGCCGATATCTGTTAAAAGGATTATTGGCAAAACTGCATAAGGAAAGTTATGAAGGTTTGAAACTGTGTTTTCGGAAAGTTTGGGCTACGCGACACTCCTTTGTACGGCCTTGGCGCCCCCATTTCGAAGCCCTGTACGAGCTCGCACCCATCCGAAGTGACTAGGCCCCGGGTGGCACGAAGCCTTATTTTTAGGTAAAGTTTGAGTGTATTAGAGCGAAATATCCAAGGGAAATGGGCCTTTTTTGGCCCTTTTGGTGTTCGAAGTTTGGACGCCTATATCTCGCTCCAAAATTGTTTCCCAATTGTTTTTCCAACTGATCCTGAACCATCTCGTCGAGCTGAACATTTCTACATATAAAAAGTTTAGATTTGGCTAGGTTACCGTTTACTTGAATTTAGCCGGAAAATGGAATTTTTCGGCAAAATTTATGCAAAATTGGCTCGTAAATGCGAAAAAATAAGAGTCCGCAGTAAATTTGGAAAACGGATTCGGGGTATATGTCGGCTACGCGGGGGGGAATTTTACGCGGGGGACGGGACAGGCAGGCATTTTTCGATGTTTTCGTTATTTTCTCGGAATTTTTGCAACGGCATTCGATAGAGCACCGAAAAATATACTAAGAGTTTTTGTTTTAGCTCAAATTAGTGTAATATAAAAAAGTTATGGCAAATACAAAAATAAGCTTTGAAAATCGGTTTGAGCGGCTGTTTTTTGACATTCGCGCTATTTTTTCGACATTTTAAAGATGCCATTCGATAGAGCATCCAAAAATATACTAAGAGTTTTAATTTTAGCTCAAAATAACGTAATATAAAATAGTTATAACAAAAAGAAGTATTAAACGTTGTTTCCATGGAGGACATAGAAGGAAAGCAAGTTTTCGACATTTTCGACATTTTACAAAATTTCTTTAGTGCCATTCGACAGAGCGTCGAAAAATATACTAAGAGTTTTGTTTGTAGCAAAAAGAAACGCAAAAAAGTAGTTAGCTCGGCCCCAACAGTCCGTCCCCCCCGCGTAAGGCGAAGCGCGCATTAACGGGATGTATAATTTGAATCAGGAAAAATTATCTCTCAGCTGCAGGGTCTATTAGAGATTGTCTAATAAGTATAGATAGTATCTATCGTTAGATATTAGATAGATAGATACATTAGCTGACCGAAAACCTGGATGCTAAAAAGACCAAGAATAAAAGTCATAAACAAAGTCAAGTCCGCGGAGCTAACTAGGGTTGGGTTTTGGCGCAACCGGATTCCGATCGATCGCTTTGCATATCCTAAACGATTAAATCGTTGGACGAAAACCGGATTGCTGCTTCAAACCGATTTAAATCGGTTCACGAGGCAAAACCGGTTTTCGTCAGGCTCGGAAATCGGTTCGCGGTAAAAAAAACCGGTTTTTCACGATTCGGTCCCGGAAGTGAAACCGGTCTTTATGCAAATCCCCAGCACACTTATTATTCAAATTGCGGTAATGGAACGCCTCAAATTTCATACATTCTTGGAAATAGAGTTCTGTTTTAGCTTGTTAGCACTGTATGGTCCCAGAGAGAAACGATTAGAACGTCATATTAAACGCTGGTGCGAGCTTGGAGCCCTTTAAAATGATCGGGTACAATCTAAGGCTATCAGTAACCGTCGGGTCCGCGCTTGAAAGAGGGGAAATCCCGGCCTATCTAGAACTGTGACCCAAAAGACAATCGTAAACGACTGGTAAAGCCCGAACAATGAAGTAGCGATCAGGCTGTCTGAGTTGATTAGAATTAATATCATTTGCATAAAGACCGGTTTCACTTCCGGGACCGAATCGTGAAAAACCGGTTTTTTTTACCGCGAACCGATTTCCGAACCTGACAAAAACCGGTTTTGCCTCGTGAACCGATTTAAATCGGTTTGAAGCAGGAAACCGGTTTTCGTCCAACGATTTAATCGTTTAGGATATGCAAAGCGATCGATCGGAAACCGGTTGCGCCAAAACCCAACCCTAGAGCTAACCTTCTGAACGGCTGAATAGTTTTTCCATCCGTACCTGGTGACCACGGATGACGAAGTCGACGTGAAGACGTTTAATCGCGCCTTCGATAACGTGAGGGCCCAATCGCTGGCCGAAGTTTCGCGTCGCATTGAGCTCGACACTAAACATGATTTTTAACAGCACCTACACAAAATTGATAGGTGCACGTAAAAATTTCCAACACTCAATGTGGATTACTGAGAAAATTTTGGAAACGTGGACTCCTAAGCATTAAATAAGGATGATTATACTCTGCCATACCCCCCATGGAGGACGGGTCCCCAATCCTACACACTTCTGCCCCCGTCCCGATATTGCGCGCCCCCAGGCATACGGTACCCCCCCCCCCCCGGTGCCCTTTCAAACTGTTTTAACTTATCTATACCACCCTAGAGAGGTCTTTAATAGAAACTATTTTTGAATATATAGGAGGATCCACGATATGGACCTCTCACCCGATAAACTCCCCCTCCGCCCTGCTAACGACCCAGAACCGTCCGAGGTTAACCTACTGTTCAACATCTTCTGACGGATCGTTCCAGCGCAATAGCCTGGCCATCCCATCGTATAACGTCTCCTCCGTTTTCCAGCCCTTTTTCAGAACGTCTCGCGTCAGCTCGGGCGCTGGAATTTGATCCTTTTGGTTGAATTAGGATAAAAATCGGCTATTTTTGGTCAAGAAATCGATATTTTTGACATTTTTAATCTATTTATGAATCTTTCGTTCTTTGTTAATTTTTATCAATATTGATTGACAAGTTTAAACTTTGGGCTAAGAAACATTGTTCCAGGGTATTCTGCCGAGTATAGTCCTTTTACACAGTTTCTAATTATAAATACGAAATGACAAATTATCAAAATTTCAGAAATGTATGGAAAATGGCCAAACCCGTTCAACCAATTTAACGTCATTTTTATAACTTTCCAGCAAGCAAAACAAAGAAAAACACAGTATGGATGATCAACAGAAAGTATAGGTGGAAAGTAAAAAGTCGTTTTCCCCAGCTCAAAATCCCCCGATACGAGTTTAGAACCGCGAACGGAAGTGATTGCGCTGAACCCGCATGGTTTGCTGTAAAAAACCCACTGAGCATGCCGTGCATGCAGAGAATCCGGCCGTCAATTAGCCCAATAACCGGAAGCTTTTCGAAGAAACTGAGAAGCGCGTCGATTGCGTCCTTTTTTCGCGGTTTTTGCTGCGGCTCTTCACCGGTCACGTCTTGTGTTGGGTGGATCTCCGCGCGGTACCCGCGTGCAACCATATGTTGTTGAAAATCGTAGCAAACTTGGTCCTCTTCATGGTTGCCACGGACGATGAACACCTAGACGAACGGTACAGCAATTTGTTCTGCCACAATTTGCGGGGATTCTTTCGTATTATACGGGGGGGGGGGATTTAATTTTTTCTGTAAGTGTAGAAATGCCTAGTGCCTTACCAGACCGTGTTTTAACAGTGTTTTTTTAGTGATAGACCAGGGTTGAAAAGTCGCGAAGACATCTGACCCCCTTTTATGATTTACTTTGCATAATTGTCCTAAATTCTAATGACAAAAGATGAAAAACTACCACTCCTTTCCATTATATAATCGAACCAGGGTTGAAAAGCCGCTTCGCGACTTTTCAACCCTGGCCCCGTCTCGGACCCCATACTATTCTTCCCTTTGCATAATTGTCCTCCATTCAATCAGAAGACAAAAAATGAAAACAACCGTTTCTGCCTCTTTAGATAGGCGACCGCCCACTTCCGCTCTATGCTAATTATTCCTAACAAAGAGGTTTTTACAAAAACTTAAATTTAATAGCGAAAATGGCTAATTTTTAAAAATCTGATATGTGTGCAGTCATCCCTAGACCATTACGCACCTAATGACGTATCATACGTAGCCTAATACCTTCCCTTCTTGAGATATCCTCCGGACAGCCACACGGAAGTGGATGCAAAGTGGCACACACACACACAAACACTATTTTTTTATATATAGTAGGATCCCCACTTCCGGTCCATGCTTATTATTCCTAACAAAGAATTTTTCACAAAAACTGAAATTTAATGTCGAAAATAAGCGATTTTCTTGAATCTCAGATGCGTGCAGTCATGTTCAGACCATTCTGCATCTAATGACGTATCATACATACCTTGATACCCTTCCCCTCTTGAGATATCCTCCGGACAGACAGAAGGAAGTGGATGCAAAGTGGCACACACACACACACAGACGCTACTTTTTTATATATAGTAGGATAACTATATTTCAACACGAAAAACTATCCAAAATCTTTAAAAAAACTACATTTTGGTCGCCACTTCCGGCGTATTGTTTCCTAACAAAAACGGTCCCTGATTTTTCAGCAGAAACCTAATTTTAACGTCCAAAGTTTTGAAATGGTTATTAATATGCTGTCATCAACGGGCCATTACGCACCTAATGACGTATCAAACACCAGATGATTACAGCCGCTTCGCGACTGTAATCGGCTGGCCTTTGGGCTACCCTCCATGTCCTACACCACCACATTACCTGGCTCACTATGTCCAAAATCACCCCAACCTCCGTCCCCCACCCCTTTTACTAAGGAAAAAACTTTCATAGTTAATTTTAATAATCTAAACTAAAACCTCTTTGTTGTGGGGTTAGCTTGCTAGACCACAATAGATCCTCTTTCACGGCTGTCCCTCCTATCCAGTGGGTAAGCCACCGGCGCGCGCCCCCCCTGCGGTCGCTTGGCGTGCGCCACTTTCCCGCCCAGACGAGATTGTGGTTTCCCGGTTGCGGGTCCACTTATCGGCACAGACTAGCTCTGTTGCCGATGAAGCAGCTTCCAGCTCTGCAGTTTCCCCCTATAAACTTCCTTCTCCCCGATAGTGCATGGATCCTTACCGAAAAAGAAAAACCCCTTATCGTGCAAAGTCAGCCAAAATCCAAAACCTGTTGGGGGTAGTGCATCTTGTACGCCATAATCAGCAGCAAGCATTCAAGTTGACGGGGGCCGCGATCGACGATGTCTCCGAGGAACATGATGCTTAAAAGGCCGTTTGCGCAAAGACGGGAAAAGGCTTCGCACAATTCTTCCCCGACCCAATTTTTTGACGCCATCTGGACGCCACCTGGACATGGTCCAGTTAGTAGGATCGCAGTATTAAAGAATTTTAAGAGTTAAACTGTCGGGTTAAATTGGCCGCCAAAGTTGCCAACACCAAAAATTTATCTCGAAAGCCGCCTGACGAAATTGGTTGAAACTTTCGGGAACACGTTTTGAAATATAGGGATTTTTCCAGACATGGGAAAACGGCCGCCGCGGCCGGCCGGCAGCCGCATGCAATTTTTTTTTTCACGGCCGGGGCCGGCCGCAAAGCCGCAAAAATTACCCACGGCCGCAGCCGGGCAGGGCCGCAAAAACGTCCTGAGGCCGCAGCCGGCCGCGGCCGGCCGCGGCTTTTGCAATGAACTACTCGTTGCCTTTTTCCTTTTCAGAAATCATGCAAATCAGTAAAATTCAACTCGAAATCCTAATAATAGGTCATTACTTTTGCCATGGTGCAGCCGCGGCCGGCCGCGGCCGGCCAAACCCTTTTTTGGAGACGGCCGCGGTGGCCGGGATTTATGCTAATTTCATATGCGGCCACTTGCCATGTCTGGATTTTTCTAATACATTGCAAAGCACGAAAATAACCGGAAAATGGTTCAATCACGTACTCGAGATTAGGGTTGTTTTTCCGGAACGTTCCGGATCTCAGACCATCCGGAACAAAGACTTTTGTATTGGCAACTTCAGCCGGCGCTTTAACCCGGAAATGTATCTTTGAAAATTCTTCAAATACTGCCATCCTAATAATTGGACCATGCTCTTCCAGTTGGCGTAAAAAAAGGAAAGCTACTTTTGGCCGGGCCCTCCGTCAACCACATCCGACAGCCAAGCATGGATGATACGCCAAAGGTCGTTGAACTGAAAATGAAACAGACGGTATCACAATAAAAAACATCCGCCTGTAATTTGATGATGATGTATTGGTTGGGAAAAATATCAGGTTGGAAAGAAAGTAATGGCACAAAATCATTAAACCGCTGTAAAAACCCGCAGGAAGGTCCGATTTGAAAGTTTGACATATGGTTTGGTAGATCTTCGGATGCTCTATCACGTGATGACCCTCAAAACACACGAAAAACTAATGTACGCGACAATACAGGCCTCAGAAGTTTCACGGAAAATTAGGTGAAAGCTTCTAAGCGAGATATCTCTGCATACAGGCATTTGCATACGATACCTTTCACCTAATTTTCCGTGAAATTTCTGAGGCCTGTATTGTCGCGTACATTAGTTTTTGGGCGTTTTGAGGGTCATCACGTGATAGAGCAGCCGAAGATCTACCAAACCATATATCAAACTTTCAAATCGGACGTTCCTGCGGGTTTTTACAGCGGTTTAAAGATTTTGTGCCATTACTTTCTTTCCAACCTGATAGTTACAGCATTCGTAAGATTCGAAACGGCGAGTTGGCAACAATCTTCAAAACCATGTTTTTATTGAAACGCATTTCAAACGGCCACTGCACCTAATTAACGGCGGCACCTTTGGGCCATTTTGCCTGGAGACATCGAGGCAACCTCGAAAAACAGTAAATTGCCACAAAATGGCATGGGAAATAATATGTTTAAATCTAAGCATAGTTTCGAAGATTGTGGATTTGAAGATGCTCACATTTCCATGAAGGTCTCCGACGACAATCGTCCGCCCTTTCGGCCTCGCCACGTGATTCTCTCCTCCCACCATTCCACCCAATCGCTCGCACAAGATTTGAATGCGATCCCCAGACGGGTTGTATTTCGGCTGAAAATTGTTTTAATCTTTTCGCCATTTTTTCGGGCGACCGGTTAATCTGGTGAGTACTACAGTGCGTATCAAAAAGATAGAGCCACTGGGTTTTTCACCTTTAACTTCGCGCCGTCGTATTTGCTAGCCAAGCTAAGCATACACATCTTGTAGCCCTTGAAAAGACGCATCTTTCTGTGTAATCAAAATCTTTCTATATTGGATATTGAGCTTTTATGATGAAAACAAGTAAATAGAGCCAAAAACACAAGTATCAAAAAGATAGAGCCACCATTTGCATCCACTTTACATGTGCTTTGAGCTTGCAAATTACATGGTAATTGTCATGTAAATCGTTCTTTTCATTCAAATCAACCTGTCAGGACCAACATTTTATAGCTCTGACCATTTTGGAGTGCGTAAACGAAGCAAACACTTGATGAAAAATGTGCCTGTCTATTGCTACTATTCAACGACATTTTTTGGCAACCGTCGCTGATTTGAATGAAAAGAACGATTTACATGACAATTACCATGTAATTTGCAAGCTCAAAGCGCATGTAAAGTGGATGCAAATGGTGGCCTCTATCTTTTTGATACTTGTGTTTTTGGCTCTATTTACTTGTTTTCATCATAAAAGCTCAATATCCAATATAGAAAGATTTTGATTACACAGAAAGATGCGTCTTTTCAAGGGCTACAAGATGTGTATGCTTAGCTATGCATGAAAATACATCTGCGCGAAGATAAAGGTCAAAAACCAAGTGGCTCTATCTTTTTGATACGCACTGTACTCGCGCTGTGTGCTCGTGTGAGACTTGCCGTCTACAGGGTGTCCCAAAAAAACCAACCATCTGGGATTTCGCCGTGTTACATCCAAACCGCCCCAAAATTGGACCAGAGTTCTATCAGACTCTAAATATCACCAATTCTGAGTTATACCCCCCCCTAGCTCCAGTCGCTCTTCAGTTATAACGAAAATACTGTTTTCCCGGAATTCTAAACATTTTTCGGCTACCTTTTTGGACTTTGCACCGATTTGCTTCGACTTCCTGTTGCGAATCCCTAATTTCGCTTAAGAAGGTGGGTAATTTTGCGTTGTAAAAATCGCTTAAATCGAAGCTGATTTGTTTAATTTCAGCCCGGAGGCTTGCCAAATCATTTTCACATAATGTTTATGGGGTCTAATTCCACGGAAACCCCATGAAAAATGGACAATAAAGTTTATTTTTGTTATAAATAGAAAACTAGGTTCTGTTCTATTTCGGGATATGCTGCGCGGAACCTTCCATCTTTTCGCTATTTTCTTGGGATTTTTGCAACGCCATTCGATAGAGCGTCAAAAAATACACTAAGAGTTTTAATTTCATTTATAAATATTGTTTTATAAAATAGTTATAGCAAAAACAAGGTTTATTGGGTGTTTCCACATGGGATCGTGGAGCTAGTTTTCGACATTTTCGATAACTTTCAAAAATTTCTTTAATAAAAAATTTAAAAATTTCTTTAAAAATTTGTTGTTCGATAGAGCGTCAAAAAAGATACTAAGAGTTTTGATGACAACTCAAAATAGCATCATATAAAAGAGTTATAACAAAACGAAGAAAATCCCCCCCGCACAGTTTTCCCCCCACGCGAAATAGAACAGTACCAAACCTACTATAACGACGGGAATATAAGTCTGGATTGTTGTTATTAAGGGTCTGATACACCTCTGGTCCAAATTTGCGGCCGATTGGATGGAACACGGCAAAATGCCAGATGGTTCATTTTTTTTGGGACACCTTGTAGGCGAATTTTACGACCTGCAGCGCTGTTTATCCCGCGATTTTGAAGATGAACACTTCAGTTTAAGGCCGAATTTACAAAGGTCGTGAGGTCGTATTATGTACAGTCTCCCCCTCCCCAGCGGCCGGCCTCAACTTTCGTATCTCGACTCTCCGTTACTGTACAGGTGTGTAAGGTATACTGAAATGTGCGCCTTGCTCGGGCGAGTATTTTTGGTAAGTTTACAACCCGGTGGAGTCCCAGGGAGCCGAGATACAAAAGTGGGGTGCCGGCTGAGGGGCTAGTTGCACTCTAATCCGTCAGGAAATTTGGCCGCCGTCTTCTCCCCTTGCCCCCCCCCCACGACAGAACTGGCCATGCAGCTGTCTGCCCTAGCTACCTCTTTGTTGTCCTCCGACAGATAGTAGGGGCTGCTCAACTCTTCGATAATCCTGTACGCCGTTCCATAGGCCGATGGCAGTGGGTTGCCGGTAATATGTAGAAGTTCCTTTTCCTGTGTCCTCGGAGGCTGCTTCGATTTCCAGGCGTTCTGAAAATCGGATCTTGATAATCTGATTCCACTGTTTTTCAATTGGGCAATCAACTAAAATCTCTCCCCCCTCGTGAAATCCTAAAGAAAAATCTGGCGCCATTTCCGCAAACCTCAAATAACAGTTTTGAACGAAAGTGGGTGTCTGTGGCCGAGATTTTGGCTGGCTGGCTACAATCGCAGATAACACTATTCTATAAGCGCAGGGCGGTTGTTAGCTCCGGGATTTGGGGCCCACCAAATCCAACGTTGAATGCAAAACCCACATGCTTCTCGAGATCGATTCTCAGCGCGAAGCCGCGCGCAGCAAGGTCGTAGCGGTTTTGCTGTGGTGCGAACTCTCCCTGGCTTCCGGACGTCTGCAAAAAAAACTGGAGTACTGGCCGTTGGCCCCGGAATGTCGCGAAATTGATGCCAACGAGGCATGGCCCAGAAAGGGCGACTTTTTGGGCATTTGCAGCAGAAATTTCAAACCGCCAACTAGGGCAATCCCACTATCCAAAAAAAGTGTTATAAGGGAAGTAAAAACACTTTATATTTGATTACTAGGTCAACCGGGTCCGCCAGAAAAAAAATTTGGGTTCCCGGTACCCCCTTCCCCCACGCGAATCCTAAAGAACCGAACTAAAGCCAGCTCCAACATGGTAGCTTCGAGTTATTCATTACCATCTTCTCCAAATGCGCCTTGTGCCCTCCTTCAATATTGGTGGTGATGAGCTTGTATTGGCCCTCGGCAAGGTTGACGATCTCCGATGGTGCCGTCTTCAGGGACAATTCGCGGAGCTTTGGAGATGGTTCTGGAATCGGCGGCGGGACCACAGCGGCAGGCTTCGCGGCGGCGAGAGGCGGTGGTGCAGAGGGCTGGGTTGTATCGACAACGGCTGCGATCGCCGGAGAAACTGCGGGAGCAGGTGTGACGACGATCGGTTCCGGAACGACTGGAGTGGCAGGTGACTCCACAGCTACCTTTTCCACATCCTTCTCCTTCGGCTTCTTCCTAAACGAACAGGTCCGAAGACTGGGGGACGATTACTTTTTGAGCATACAACCCAGAAGTGCGCCACACACAGTCAACAGTAAGACGCCGCCGACACCTTAATCATGGCATCAAAGGTGTGGAAAAGGTTTCTGACCAGCCCCAATTCCGATCAACGTCTCAGTCGACAGAGCAGCAGCTTCTGTGGTCGGAGGAATGGGGGTCGTTTCCGCAGGGACTCCATGGCGATTTGTGCAGATTTTCTGAAAATAATTCATTGTCAATGGCATTAAACTACAAGGAATTATCTAGACTCATCCGAAAGCACCAAACAGTGTCATTCGCTCCCTCGCATGGCGGCGGATCGATGGCCAGTCCGCTGGTGTTGCCGTTTCGGAACTGGACAAAGATGTTCGTGTCGCAGTTCAGAAACTGGTCGTCCTTGACCCTCTGCAGATCCTCTTTCTAAAATGGTACTATTTTCATCTGCAGACGTTGTGAAGATACCGCCAATCCGGCCACATTGATGCATCGTGGGTATTGAATCTTCTCGGGGATGTCATCTTGGCGGCGAACACGACCCTTTTTCTCATCTTGCGACATGAACGGCAATACCTGAAAGAGATAGCTCAGCAAGACTGGCTGGAAGCAATCAACTATAATAAAAAAGCAGAGACGTCCGTCTGTCTGTCTGTCTGTCCGTCGTGTCCCGGATTCAACTCGAATGGGAAAGGAGCTAGAGCTTAGGTCTCATCGGATTCGGATAGAGCGTGGTCAGAAACCCCCAAACTGATAAAAAAAATAAGAAAAAGTTTTAATTTAAATTATTAAAATTAACTTTGAAAGTGGCGCGTTAATAAAACGAGTGGGGGGCCCCTTTCCCGGCAGGCCACGCCCCCTTTCCCTTCGCCCCTCTTCCCCAGGCCCCTTCCCGCGCCCAAATAGCTTTTTAAGTTACTTTAATACTTTTAATATTTTTTAATTATGTTAATTTATTATTTAAATCATTTAAAGTATCGGGATGGAATCTAAGTAGTTTTTGAAGGGGATTTCAGCCATGGGGAGTATCTGAAGCCATCAGGAAGGTATTTAGGTAGTCTTTGAAGGAGATTTCGGCTATGGGGGTGTCTGAAGCCATCCGAAAGGTAGCTATGTTTTTGTGGGGGGTTGGCTAGAGGAGATATCTGAAGCCATCAGTGTAGGTATTGCCTTGAAGGCATCAGCGTAAGGTGGGGATGAAATGTGGTGGTGTAGAATATGGAGGGTAGCCCGAAGTCCAGCCGATTGCAGTCGCGAAGCGGCTGTAATCGGCTGGTCCCAATAAGAAATCCATGTGTTGCATGGTATACAAAAAGAGCACATTATTATCATTAGTACCTCTGGCTTATGATGAAGAGAAGCTATATTTTCCGGTCCTCCCTCTGTGGGGTTATTTGTTGCCGTGTTGGAAGTATCCGAGGCATTCGGAGCCGCCGTTGATCCCTCACTGCTTTTCACGGCACCAAGCAGCAGGTTCTCCATTTCATCCATGAATGTGGCGTACGGACCGGACTGAAAATGGAAAACAGGTTGTTCAAGTAGATCTTCTCTTTAAAGGATTCATGAAATACAACCGACCAGTGCTCGTCGGGCTGTGAAGTAGGGAACGGATCCTCCTGGATCGGAGACATCCAGGATGACACAGTCCTCGTATGTAGCGCCGAATTGATATTCGCAAGGCTTGTCGCAGTCCATTGCAAAAAGAGAAGCGTCTAATGGAATCGGAGAAAATCTTCAAAAAGGTGTTTGTGTTTGTCTTGTAATTTTCTACGGTTGTGTGCCATCTTTGTTGCAGAGTGGAAGCGGCGAACACGTTTTGTCTTTCTGCCGCCCTCCCTTGCCGCAGTACTAGATCTTACACGTAATTCCCCCAAAACGACTTGTTACGGTAATCTCCCTAAGACTGGGCACATCGTGGGCGTAGTTGGTGAGTGGAGATACATCATCTTCGGAGTATCCGGCGGCCAAGTGGAGACTCGGGACACAAGTGATTTGCGGACGTAAAGCCGCTTGACCGTGTTTCGCATGTGCTTCTGTGACAATTCTAAAAAGATGTTTAAGCCGTACCACTTACTGAGCGGATATTTTCGAGATCTGGAATTTTTTCGGAAGTCTAGGATTTTGCATTTTTTATAAAACTATGCCTAGTTCCAAGGTCAGGAATAGCAAAAAAAAAATCGAGACAGATTTTTAGGTATTCAAAAAATCGGCTACTTAAGAATCCAGTGGCTGCGCCTGTAGAAGCGTAGAAGCAAGAAAAATACTTACGCTGGTACGATGAAGCCGGCGTCACATTGCACAAAGTACTGGTTGGTTAATGGTATTCCGGTTATCCCGTATGGATTCGTGCTCCTGAGTGGATTATAACCATCAATAATGACCAAATGACCCAACCATGCCTTTCCTTCGCATTTTCCCGATGCCAACATTTCCCGGGTGCACAGATTGAAAGGGAACAGAACTTTATCTGTCAATATTTTAGGAAGTTTAAGCAATCGTTCATACTTTTGCCGTCGTTGACCGTTACGGGCAGGATGCAATCTGGTGCGCCGGATTCTTCCTTGTGTTCGGCCGTCTATAAATTCCAGAAAAAATATAATTCCAGCTATAATTCCAGCTAGAAGGTTGAGGAAATTTAAATATAGATGTTGTCCTTGCACTCACACAAAATTTTGGACGGCATGCTTTCGACACGCTCAGCCGTTGATCATCTTCCTGCGCCGTGCCAGACGCCGCGCAGATCGGGGCTTTGCAGGCAGGACATAGAATTTGCACCCATTCTGGCATCACCATTCTTCATTTGCCAGATGTTCGTAGGCGTAACAAAGGAAATGACGATGCGCACGGCACTAAATTACGCATTAAAAACTATGTAGCTTTGCAAACATTTTGGATTTCTTCATCACGTCGGGTCCGGTGGTGGTTGTCGCTGTACAGGGAAGATGTGAAGTCATTGAAGTCGAAAGTGGCGCTTGGCGGCTGCCGAATATTTCCATCACTGGAACAATTGAAGTAGGAAAGTAAAGCAAAAGGGACAACAAGGAACCATCAAAGTAGATGAAAACTCTTAAAAACCACGTGACTGCCCAAAAAACTGACGGATTGCCGTGGCTGTTGCTGAAGAAGACGTTAATTAGTAGGTAGAGGATCGGCATCGTGTCCGTCAGGAACCGATGACGGCGCCTCATCGACGGTCGAGTAGCCGAGACCGAAATTGTCGGGAGTGTCGAGTGGAATGAAAGGGATTTTTCGGAATCCGTACAGAGGTTTTCAATGCTAATCTACTATATACAAATTTCTAATGTCCGTCTGCCCGCCGTCCGTACACGAATTCAGCCAAATTCTGCATTCAAATTCAAAATTCAAATCATGGGGGAGCGCTAACAGCTTCTAAATCAACTACAGGGTGTCCCAAAAAAAACGAACCATCTGGCATTTTGCCGTGTTCCATCCGATTCGCCCCAAATTTGGACCAGAGGTGTATCAGACCCTAAATAACAACAATCCTGAGTTATAGCCTTATAGCTACAGTCGTTCTCGAGTTATGGCACAAATAAACTTTATTTTCCATTTTTCATAAGGTTTCCGTGGAATTAGACCCCATAAACATTAAGTGAAAATTAAGCGGCAGGCGTTCTTTAGCCCTAGAGATTTTTTCTTGATAAAAATAATCAAATAACCGTTAATTTCAACAATTTTTGTAACCCAAAGTCACCCGCGATATTAAGCAAAATTAGGGATTCGCAGCCGGAAGTGGATGGAAATCTATGCAAAGTCCAAAAAGATAGCCGAAAAAGCTGTTAAGAATCGCGTAAAAAATAAGATTTTTGGCGATAACTCGAAAACTACTGTAGCGATCGGGCTATAACTCAGGATTGTGGTTATTTGGGGTCTAGTACACCCTTGTGCAAAGTATGGGATCGACAGGATGTAAGGCGGCGAAATGCCAGATGGTTCCTTTTTTTGGGACACCCTGTATAATAATTTCGCTATGGTGTCCGTCCGTCCGTCCGTCCGTCATGTCCCGGATTCAACTCGAAGGGGAAAGGAGCTAGAGCTTAGCTCTCTTCGGATTCGGATAGAGCGTGGTCAGAAACCCCCAAACTGATAAAAAAATTACGAAAAAGTTTTAGTTTAAATTATTAAAATTAACTTTGAAAGTTTTGTCCTTAGTAAAAGGGGTGGGGGGCTCTCTCCGGGCAGGCCACGCCCCCTTTCCCCAGCCGCTCTTGACCAGGCCCTTCCCGCGCCCAAATAGCTTTTTAAGTTACTTTAATACTTTTTAATACTTTTTAATTATGTTTATTGGTTATTTAAATCATTTAAAGTATCTAAAGCGATCAGGAAGGTATTTAGGTAGTTTTTGAAGGGGATTTCAGCTAGGGGAGGTATCTAAAGCCATCGGGAAGGTATTTAGGTAGTTTTTGAAGGGGATTTCGGCTAGGGGAGGTATCTAAAGCCATCGGGAAGGTATTTAGGTAGTTTTTGAAGCGATTTCGGCTAGGGGAGGTATCTAAAGCCTTCGGGAAGGTATTTAGGTAGTTTTTGAAGGGGGTTTCGGTTAGGGGAGGTATCGGTAGCCTTTAGCGGGGTATTTTGGGAGAGGTAGGGAGGGATGTGATGGCGTATGACATGAAGGGTAGCCCGAAGGCCAGATGGTTGCAGTCGCGAAGCGACTGGAACCATCTGGTTCTTGAGACAAATTAATTAGGATTTCTGGATGCAAAGCAACAGTTTCCGGGGCTTCTCGAGTTGATTTTAGAACCGTTGATTTAAGGCCACCCTCTTTCTGAAATAATAGAACCCGACCTTGGATATAAACCGTAAAATGTCCCCGCCTCCGATAAATGAAACAAAACTCGTTTTCTTCACCGAACCGGCCTTCCGCATCAAAGTAAACCCATACCTGGTCGTTATGTACTCCAAGCCAATTGTGTTTGGGGTTCTTTAGGATTCGCAGGGGTGGGGGGGGGGGGAGTATTCACGGGGGGAACAACTTTTTCTCGCCGCAAGCCTAATCCTACCTTATATAATTTTGGGGTGTATCTCTGTGTGTGTGTGTGGATGTCACTTTCGTGGCCCGATTTAAGGGCCTTCCCCTGGATAAAATGCGCTAATTCTTTGTCACCCGGGGGAATCGACCCTCCTCTTTCCGATGGCGTTTTCAGAATTTCGATAAAATACACGTTTATAAAGTTAAAGCCGGTTTTATTCATTTTTGGGGGAAATTTGCATAATAGGTAAAAACACAAATCTCCTCATTCTTGCAATTTGCACGCGCGTGTGTGGTCGGTGGAGGGAAGGGGTCCGAAGGACCCGACCCATCAGAAAGTCAAATTTTTTCATGCAAAAGCCCAATTCCAGCGCCCAAGGCCCGCGAAGCGGGTTTTGGGCGCTGGTTTTTTTATAAATAGCGGATGCGTTTCTAAATTGTTTATAGCTATTTCTAGGCATAAAAACTACACGAATTTGAATTAAAAATGGATTTATGACCGAATTTACGACTTTTTCCAACACTTTTGCAACTTTGTTGCAAAGTTTCTCTACTTTAACGATAGTTAAAACTTAATAACACAATGTAAAAGCACTTTATGTTTGATTAATACACCGACCGGGACCGCTAGGAAAAAAGCGGGTGATCCGCGGATCTTAAAGGACCGTTTTTGGTTACTAAATTTACAGTGTACGAATCTCGGTGATTGGCGTTTTTTCGACCCATTTTTGACGCCATCGGAAAGATCCGGATCGAATTACTAGGCTGGCATCATTCTGACAGCGCTTTTGCGCCGGCGCGTGTTCTTCGGCTCGCCCCGGCTCCGGATCGTTCCGGATTGCTACTTCAGCCTGATAGTCATCCGACCCATTATCTGTCGCAAAATCCGATAGCTATTTCCCTGTTTGCTAGAAACCATTTGTGTCGCAAAAATCCCATAGCTATTTTCCTGTTTGCTAGAAACCATTTGTGCCAAGTCGGGTTTTTTCGAATGTGAACGACCCTCCGTCATTTTCTGCACGATTTATCCCAAAAGAAATCAATGACATCCGTCATGAAAGAAAAGATACATGTCAATACAAAATGGGCGGTACAGGTTCGTGAACATTTTGTGTGATCAGTTAGTCTGGTCGGGGTGCGTGGTCGAGTCCCTTCCGTTCTCTCATTTCTTTTTATTCTTCTTCACGTTCGGCTTTGCCATTTTCGTTTGCTCCTGCAATATGGCATGTGTACGTGCTCAAAAGGTCGGGTGTATCTACATAGCGTCTGACTCACCTTAGTGGCTGTATAATCCTTGGCTTTCCAACCCTCAGCCAGCCTCTTGTCGAATGCATCTTGCGCTGAAAAAGCACGCATATTTTCGATGCTCGCCCACCCTAATTGTTAAAATTAACTGAAACTTTTAGTCTTTTATAGCAGTCAAACCCGATAGAATTAGTGAAGGGTACTCATAGGACAGCGGGGGGGGGGCAATTATCATTTAGAAATTTGCAATTACTGCGGGATTTTGCAAGCGCCATTCGATAGAGCGTCAAAAAATCTACTCACATAATTGATTCCAGCCCAAAATAATGTAATAGAAATTTTTATTGAATAAACCAAAATTGAGCAAAATCTACGGGCAGAACATAGGATAACGGGGGGCGGAGGGGAGAAGCCAAATTTTGGTATTTTGAAAACGCTATTGGATAGAGCGTTGAAA